GAGGTCTTAGAGGTAGCAAAGGATATGGAAACCCGGTCCTACCGTCTCCCGCTTGGAGTCGTCGCGGCAATTTGTCCATTCAACTTCCCTGCCATGATCCCCCTTTGGAGTCTCCCGATTGCCATCGTGACTGGCAATTGCTTGATTCTGAAGCCGACTGAGCGCGCACCCGGTGCTTCGATGATCATCGCTGAGCTATGCAAGAAAGCGGGTTTCCCCCCGGGAGTTGTAAACGTCATTCATGGATCCAAACCTGCTGTGGACTTTATCTTGGATGCACCGGAGATCAAGGCGATTTCCTTCGTCGGGTCGAATAAGGTTGGCGAATATATCTACGAACGTGGCACCGCGAATGGAAAGCGTGTGCAGGCGAATCTGGGAGCTAAGAATCACGCGGCTCTTTTGCCGGATAGTAATAAGAAGCATGCTTTGAATGCCATCGCCGGTGCTGCGTTTGGAGCAGCTGGTCAGCGTTGCATGGCACTAAGCGTCTTGATTACGGTTGGCAAGGCGCGCGATTGGCTCCCTGAATTGATTGAGAGTGCCAGGGGGTACCAGGCTGGAAGTGGGTTCAACGCACGATCTGATCTGGGTCCGTTAATTACACCCCAGAGTCGGGATCGCTGTGTAGACCTCATCTCCAGTGCGGAGAAGGAGGGTGCTACTATCGCCTTGGACGGCCGGGACCAGAAACCCGAGGGTTTCCCTAATGGAAACTGGGTATGGAAGTCCCAAGCCCCTGTGTTAACTTCAACCCCTATGAATCATCCTGCTAATACATCAACTAAATAGGTTGGTCCGACTATTATCACCGGAGTGAAACCCGAAATGAGATGCTACCAAGAGGAGATCTTCGGCCCTGTGTTGCTCTGCATGGATGCGGATACAATCAACAGTGCAATTGATCTTATCAACAGCAACGAATGGGGTAATGGTGCAGTCATCTTTACCCAGTCCGGATCTAGCGCGACTCACTTCCAGAAGCGTGTTGAGTCCGGTCAGGTTGGGATTAACGTTCCGATCCCCGTTCCCCTTCCCATGTTCTCCTTCACTGGTAACAAGCGAAGTGTTGCTGGAACGGGAATGCTTAACTTTTATGGAAAGGATGGTATCCGATTCTATACACAGTGGAAGACTGTTACGTCGCTGTGGAGAACTGAGGATGCTACTGAGCTTGAGAAGCCAACTTCGATGACTTGATTTGTGGTCAGTAACTTGCATACGGCGGGCTTGGGAAGCATATCTTGGGATTAGTTTGGAAGATGCACGATGGGCGCTGACATGTTGGGCATTTTTGACTCCGGGTATTATTGCATGTAAACAAGATACATAGGGTATGTAGGTGCATCCATGGATGTCTTTTTGGGCGTCTTTTTTTTAAATATTTTTTTACACGGTGTTATACCTAGAAAGATACTAATTAGCTACGTGAAATACAAGAATGGGAATAACATTAAACATAATATTGCAGAGTAGAAATGCAGGATGTACAATATACAAGGGACATCGAGGGGCCTCTCTATGTATAACCAGGGAATTATGTGGACACAGTGTTGATGATACGGCTGGCAGCTTCCCCGTTGACGGTTGACATCAGGATGAATCTTTGATTCGAAATGAAAACATCCCAATCTACCTTGTATTCATTAACTCATCGCCATATATACTTAATACCCTTCTCACGGGTTTCTTGATTGGTCATATTCCATATAACTCTATCGTGATAGAGCGAGAAGAGCCATTGCCAATTGCAGCATCGGTGCTGGGACTGCCGAGTCTGTTTTTCTCGGTCTTTGAAGCCGCTATTGGTTGACACTGGCATTGCAGGAACAGATCTTATTCTTGCGGGTATAGTTGAAAGGGGTATGAAGGCTGAGGGTCTTCCCACGGGGTTGAATCCTGGCGCTTTATTTATTATAACTGTTACTATACTGATTGCCGGGCCAATTTTTCTTTCTGTCCGGTGTTTTTGTCCGGTGTGGAGTTTATTCTCTGTTTCCCTGTTTATATTTTCAAATCTTCGCGACTTAAGTAACTCTTTTCGTACCGACCTTGTCCTTTTAATTTTTATATTGGCCTGATATCCGACTTGGGGCTGCAGTAGAGCAAGGGTAGTGAGAACTACGGTGGCTTTGGGGAACCATCATGACAACGCAGTTCTTATCTGGTGGCAAAGGAGTTCTTGCCATATGATTCCTTCTGTTGCCATTCATAATGCTAGGGGTGGCGATATCATGGTTTGTGATACTGTGCATTCTAAATTATCAGTTGACAACAGATAAATCGGAGGGGATACACCGAGGTCGTATACTAAATATATATACCAGGTTGAGGAACGGGAATATTGGAATGCGCCTGATTTATGTCACTACAACAAACAAGAGCATATGATTAACCGACTGCCTTTACAAGTGATTCTAACAGACAATAGGGCGCTATAAATTGCAATGCAAAGAGGCAGATCATAAGTTGTACAGAATATGAGTTTGATAGATATATTGTGGTTTTTCTCGGCTAAACCATCTAAGTATCATTAAAACCGTCGTCTTTCAACAGCCCAGCCGGGCTAGCTCAATCGGTAGAGCGTAAGACTCTTAATCTTAAGGCTGCGGGTTCGACCCCCGCGTTCGGCTATTCCTAAAAACCAAACCTGAGATTTCTTTTTTGCTCTTTCCAATTTTTTTCTGCATGGGAATTGGATGGGTTTTCAAGGTCCACTTAGGGCTGCCGGCTCCGGCGAAACGTTGGTCTTGGCATTGAGTATTACCTAAGCTGAATTAAGCTCAGAGAACCATGGTCCCGGTCTCAGATCCCCGATATACAATCCCCAACCATTTCCCTTCCACTTCACCACGACCCTGATTGACAATACATCTGGCTCCAACGTCCTTTTTTTCGGGACTCTAGAAAGGGACTGTTTGCTGCCAAACTTGATTCTTACCATACATTCTGAGTAATATATTTACTTCAAGCATCTCAGTCAATGTCGATCACATCTCTTCCAGCTAGTACGTGAGATCTGCAGCTATCTGCAGCTATCAGAGTTACAGGCGCTCATAATATACTCAAGAGCCCTTAGATTTGAACTAGGTTTATCTAGTTATAATTTAGCTTTATTCCACCTAGAAATCGCGAAAGTAAAATTTGTCCGCGAACGAGTTCAGAAACTATGGATGAATACCAACTATATAGCGGTACTACTTATTAAAAACAAGAATAGTATTTAGTATTATATTACTGGCTAGTTCTTTAAAGGAAAGAGTATATTTTAACAAGAATACTAAGTATAGAGAGGAAAGGAAAAGAGAGAAAAGAATCTCCGAGATAGGATCCTTTGTAGGATCTTATTACGATCAATCAATCAATCAATCAAATAATACAAACCGCGTTAAGACGGAAACCTCTAGCAGAATCCAGTCTCCTTTACCCAGATAGTCACAAGTAGATCACCTTATTAGATAGAAGTATCGCCTATTATTTACTATATTATAATAATAATCTATACTAAAGCGTTCGCTTAAGCGGTTAGAAACGAGTCGTTTTTTTTATAGTTTTCAGGATTTATTCTAATAGATCACCGAAGATAATAGTCGCTTGGGGAAAGAATCTTAAGGTGTTTTAACAAGCCAGTAAGATAAACTATATTAGCTTCAAATGAATATACATAGCCCTATTGAAAGAGGTTGGAGAAGATATATTAGAGGTGACAATATAAGATATTCGATTCTCCCGGATTCTATTAACTAAAAGCAGTCTAGACCAAAATAGCTGATAAGTGTTCCGCGTGTCAAACTGCATTAAAGCCGCTAATCTCAATTCCGTAGTAGTCGAGATTCTTAGCATACATTGAGACTATCAACGCATAGAGTATTACACCTGAGAATACTAAGAGCTACATACCTTACTCTGATCTCATTACGGCCTACGATCAAGACTGCCGGGGGCCGTCAGTTCAATATTACTACGCTAACGCCTATCGTGGGCGCGACGCCGGTGCCCCGCTCTCGTGCTGCCATCATGGCGCATTCTATAGCATTCATTGAGTCGACCTGGACAATCTCGATCAGATCTTGCAACCCAGAACCATTGCTCCAAGGACGGGAGGCCATACCGGTTTCATAGCCCACAACGATGAGTTATAGTTCACTGCAATAACCCCAGCTACGCTCGCTGATGACCCTTGCGACGGATGCCCATAATAGCCATCAGCCCATTTTTAGCTGTTTCTCTTATTAGGGAGTTGATCTTGATATGGTTTTCGCAGTCGCAGTCTCGCGTCGACTACAAAATGAAACACCGACCACGGCCAGGGGCGTGTGCGGTATTCTCGATATTAGCCCACATCACCGGGCTGTGATTTCGAATAGTCATCGACTGGGTGGGGAGGAACCAGAGAGAACAACGATAACTACAACTGGGCGCCACGGTATTCATAACCAGGCAACCGGGAGCCATTCTGTGGAACCGGGGCTGTTGTACAATGCCTGCATGGTGCACAGCCACTCCCCTAGGGAAGGAGTAGGATTATCGACACGAAAGGACACGATGCCGCTACGGGCTGTATTCCAGTGGTTACGCTCCTAGGCGACAAGCATTGCAAGTTGCGTATCGGGTTGAGCGGAATCTCCGGTAAATGAAAAGGGCAGTGGTCGATAGGGGCTAGAGTGAAATAAAGGGGGCAGCGATGAGTGCGATATAGAGGAGTTGAAGGAGGAGATGAAAGGTCGAAAAGGCGAGGTCAGGTCTTTTATATTAGGGTGTTAGAGAGTGGAAATTACAGGACAGCGTATTGGGGTGCTAAATCCAGAAGGGCAAACCTAACCACATACGGTAATTCATCTGCCGTTTACAAGTAAAATGCCTGGAAGAAACGCCTTTTGATTAATTATTACAAGGTATTGAATTAGACTTTGTAACAAAATAATGCGCAATAGATGAAGGGTCATCAATCTACCAGTAGAGGAGTGTGTTATTGACGTAGGAGTAAGCTACACTATGATCTAGGCGTATAACTTGTCCAAGGAAGGCTGCCTTGCTTCTGATGGGGTGAAGCTGCAATGCCCCTTTGGCCCATCGCTTTCATCATCATCATCCCCGCTGTCCAAGGCCCATGACAGATCAGTCTCTCCCCACATCAGCTCACCGTGCGTCACGGTACCTGTACGAACGTTCTTGGGTGGATGACAGGCTGCGCTTATAGCAGCACTGCAAGTTCCCGCGAGAGGTATTGCTGACTTGAGTCTCCGGAATGACACGCCAATAATCATGATAAATAGGACACAGAGAATGACACCAGCGTACATCAAAGGCATATATGAGGACGCTGGTACGCTTTTTTTCTGCTCGTATAGTAGATTGCCGTTTGTATCGCAAGGAAAAGCCAGAACAAAAAAGATGCCCTGCGAGACAAGCCAATGGACTATTGTGAACAAGGCCATCGATGGAAGTCCGTATCGGTATGGGATAGATAGCCAATAGGTTGAACGCTGCTTGCTGCCTTCAACAGGCCAAGTGACGCGAAGTGGCTTCCTATTAACCCCGTAAGAGCTATACTCCGCACTCAAAAGCATCCTTGTGAGAAGACTATTATAAAAATAATAGCAGATCGTGACTACCAGTTGGGCGCTATTCGCAATGACCACACCTTGCAGTTCTGAATAGTTCTCCGCACCAGAGGTGGTAACAGCCGTTTGTCTTGCCATAGAACCAGAGTCCCAGATTGCTTGCCATGTAAGACCCGCAGTTCTGGCATTTGGTTTCACGGCAATGCTTGGGTATATATACATAGTAGTCATAATGCAGGTAATGACGCTTGATTTTGTTAGCATCTCGGCATTCAGGTTACGTATCAGGCCCAGGAGACTCACATCAACACAGTCACAAACCAATGGATTGGACTAGATGCTCTTCTCCATTGCTGAGGCCTGGTGAGACGTTGATATCTCACGGCCTGTCGTTGTGGTTCCTGTCCTTCCGGACACGTTGTCCAGTTCTTCTTCATGCTATTTAGCGATGCCCAACACATGCCTTTCGTAGTCTCATCTGGGTCCTCTAGGAACGAAGCTATCGCATCACATGACGTGAGGAGAGGGATTGATCGAGATTTATGAATTTGGGCGGCCAAGAAGATTGCAATAACTTTGACGAAGGTGGCGATGATAACGGTCACAGCGATGATAGGGTTATAAAACAATTGGCAATTGTTTTTCCCCTCGAATGCTAGGCACTCCGTTACATGCATTTTGTTATGGTAGTAGAAGTAGGAGGTAGACGCGGGTGTGCATTTATGATCTTGTATGTTTTCTGAACTCACAAACGGAGTTACCGAAACTTCTCTGGGGTCCCTCCAGTTCGTGATTCCAAGGACAGACTCAGTTCCGCCATCGCTCATACTTCGGTTGCTTGTTAGAAGAACAATCCCCTTATAGACAGGTTGGCCAATGGTTAAATATATCTCTTCGAAACATTTCTCGGCGGGGATCCTCTCGCTCTTTGATCCTTCAATTTGAAGAATTAGTTGGTTCCAATCTAATACTTCATTCGAAGATCTAGATGTCGGTGCGGAGCTCGTGCGTATTGTAAAACAATTGTCCAAGGCGGGAGTCGTGAGATTTCGCATGTCTTTAGGCGTGAAGTCATGCGGGGCGGCGAAGGCCCAGTACTCGTTGTAATTCAGGCTCTCAAATATGAGTGAGTTATAACTAAGGCGACATTAGTACGCTGTAGAAAGAACAATAGGCATCCCTCCGTACAATAGATGAAGCGGCGTGGCAGTAAGTAGCAAGACTATCCACAGACCGAGTCGGGCGTACGATATAGCGAAGAGGTTTCTGAAACTGGAACCTCCAACGTCAAGCCAGCGGCATTTTGCGTGGGCAATGTCAATCTCGTCTCTAGTTGGGGCGACAAGAGTCTGCATGCAATAATTGCTCGTTGCGAGAGTACAGGTGCTGATAATGTTGATTATGATATGGAGACTTGTGTTCCACCGACCTGCCGTGTCACAAGAACCGTCATATATCACTTTTGAATTCGAGGATCCCCCTCTCCCTGGGAATTTAGACGATAATCCGCCAGCCACGGAAACAAGTATGAGATTTGATAGTAGAAGGCCGGTAGTCGCATATCCACAGAGGTATACACCTTTAATCCAAGATCTTGATTTGTCCAGACCGTTATTTTCCAAAGCATGTGCCAGAATGCCCCTGTGTTCGTCGGTACTAGCTTTTGCTTCGCCTAATATAGGAGTGACAAGAGCCTGATCTTGGACGGTTCGCTCTTTTGCCGTGATTTCTGGGACGGAAGATAGCGACTGTTGGCTGGGAAGTGCGAGGAGCTCGGTATCGTGTAGATCGCTGTCTGCTGCCCCATCGTAGCGCTGAGAAGGGGCCAGAGAACGAGCCCAGGTCAATATCTTGCGTAGTTCGCGATTCCCCGGCAAGGAAAAAGGGACTTTCATTGCGGAAGGTAAAATTATGCTGAGAGGTGAAGGTGGGGGATGGGGGCTCTTCTACTTTTTTTCAACTCTCTTAGCAAAGACTCGCTAGCCCTGCATTTTATTGTGGCTGAGCGCCGGATCAACTAACCCATTTTGTAAGTGATTGGCGACGAGGCTCTCAATTATAGAGAAGTTAATAATGTGAGAACGGGATTGGGGATGATCACAATATCGAGGCTGTGCCTGAGGCATACATATACCAGGAAAGGCGAGAGCATGGGAGGAAGAACAGCGAAGACGGGTCTTCTATGTTGGGAACATTGAAGGGAGGTTACGTGAATATTGAGGCGTAAAAAAACATACAACAGTGAGGATTCGCTGGTGGTCACCCACCCAACTACTAACTCACCGGCGTGTGGCTTAAGTACGGCTGAGCGGACGGGAAGCCCTGTTTTCCACACCCTATGGTCGTATGTAACATGTCAGGTGTGGAAGAGGAATATAACATACAGATAATTAGGTCGTGGAAAGGAGAGCGTCGCGGAGTAAGAAGGGTGAGTGGGCTATAGATAGGGTGAAAATCAGGGTGAGAATCACCTAAGTCGCGCGACCACCGTATTGACCCCTTTAGCTGAACCAATGGCAGAATATCATTGGATCGTGTTGTTTCCCTTGAAACACTCGATATCTTGGCATCTGCATATCACTAGAACTGGAAGGAAGCATCACACACCTAGGTAGTAGGCAAGTTGGCAATACGAATCTAATTAGTTGATCTGCTAAAAAACCTATCTCGAAATCGAGCTGCCCGTACTCGACGGGACTTACTTATAATACGGGCTAATAAGAGCTTAGTGTAATTTGGATATAATTTAAGCTACTCGCCTAGATATATGATATCGTAAGCGGGGGGAAATCCTAGACGTTATAAAAAAAGTATAATAGTCTTGCGAAGAGCTCTAACTAGTAATAAAGCCCTCTTCAAACACTGAATTAAAATCCTCGTATAAGGGATATTATATCTGTATCTATAGGTGATAGGGGTGGCCCTGGGGAGCGGGCCTTAGGGGAGTGTCTGACAGGACGCCTCGTCTATGCCAAGACAATTAGTACAGCACTGCGGAGTAAGAAATACAGTATATTTTCTGCACCGCTGGTGAAAAAATCCCGCGGGTCTTGGCAAATTGCCGGTCTTATTCTTCATAGGGTTAGCCACAATTGTGGAGACCCGGGGATGAAAAGACCCGAGTGGAACGGATTGGTGCTGGACCCCTGGGAGTATACCGGATGTCGATCCTCGAGACAAGGCTCTGACATGGCCTAGCTCCGAGGTACTACCGGCCCCTTGAGGAGCTTGTGGATGCTTATCTGTACCACTGGAATTAACTAGGAAAAGACGATCAGGCGTCCCATTCTTCGGATATATTCACCTCCTATCCTCTGCACTAAAAAAACGCAGCAACTAGCTACTTCTAGTAATAATACCTACTAACTATCAAATACAACGCTCCACCTACTCCTTCACACTAATACAGTAATATGCATTTCTCTGGAACATAGTCCCACACTTCTTGCCATCATCACCTAAAACTGTGTTCCACTGATACAGTTGCTTGGGGGTAATGTCGTGATCCTTAGCGAAGTCAATGCAGTTATCGCCATCTTTTGCCTTGGCATAGTCGTTGCAGTTGTCTGCAATGCTGTTCGTCTGGGTGGGGGATGGGGCGGCTCCACTTGTTGATGTGGCACTGGCAGTTGCGGTCGTACTGGTGGGCTCGCTACTGGTATCCGTACTTGTATTTTTATCGGTGGTGGTGGAGATCTGAGAGGTCGATGTGCTGGTCGGCGTTGGACTAGATGTCGACGAAGAAGTCGAGGTCGAGGTGGAGGTCGTAAGCGGCGTCGAAGGCGCTGGAGTACTAGGCACAGCCCCCGAAGAGGATGCGTTCTCCTCGGGTCCGTCCCTACAATACCTATACTCCTTGCTGAAACTGCAGCCGCTAGACTTCGATTTCTGCTTGTTCAAAGACGGATTCCACCTGAGCAAGTCTGCTTTCGAGACTTCCCAGAAGTCTGCGGCCACGCTGCAGTCGTTGACACCCGTATAGTTGTATTGAAGGTTGCGCCCATCGACGAGTGTATTGCAATCTTTCACGGTATTTGGGGCGAGGGGGAGCGGGTCAGGGTTATTAATGGGCGTGTAGGTTGCGTCGGGAAGCTTGTCCCAGGGGACCTTGGAGACAGAAGGCATGTAGCCTGGGGCACCGGGGTAGTTGTCCATATCCTCGACGGGCTTGACACAGTAGCTGCGGCCAGCTATGAAGTTTGTGCAGCTAGTTATGCTAGTAAGACTTTAAGTCGTAGGCAGTGGAAGAGTTAAAACTTACTTCTGGTTCAGACCCGGATTCAGGATGAGAAAATTGGCTCGCTTGATGGGGAACTTCTGGGTGATTGTGTCACAGCTCTCCTTCTCCTTAGGAGTGTAATACTCGCCACAGTTCTTGGTGCTGTTTTTCGCGAGGTTGGTCGGGACAGGGACGGCCGACGAAGCTGTGGGAGGCCCCGTGGCAGAAGCAGCAGAGGATGGAGCTTCGTACTTTTCTCCAGGCTCATTCATACAGAGTTCGGTGCCGATGGTGCGGTTGAAGTTATAGCAACCGCCGTCAATCCAAGGGTTGTAAGAGCGCAACTGGACAGGAGTAATGTTGTGGGCCTTCGCGACGCTCTTACAAGTATCTCTCTTTTGGACTGTGTAGGTAGCGCAATGGTTCTTGATGCACAGTTCACCAGATTTAGGGAAGTTAGCACAGTGGGCTTGGAGCTGGTTGTCTATGAGAAGTTGGTAGGTAGCGACGCTCTGCGACTTGGAGATTGACTCGCAGGTGTCTCCATCCTTGATAGTGTATTTCTTGCCACTGCAGGTGCTCGCAGTTGGGGTAGCTGCTACAGATAAAGTGGATATTCCGGACAAGGATTTGCTGGCCCTGCAGGGCATTAGTATTTGTTGAAGCAATCTGTCGAAAATTTGACTTACGAATGATGAGGAAGAGACACCGTCGGCTTGGCAGTCACCGGATATCCCGTGAACTTGCAAGAAGAAGTATAACTGGGGTACGCACTCGAGTACACACCAGGTCCGCTGCCGTAAGGATACTGGGCCTCGTTGCGAAGCTTCAGCAAAAGACACTTGTTGCAGTCGTCACCGCCATTCTTGGTGAGGTTACCCAGAACGATATTGCAGTAATTGCCTTCGTTCTTGAAGCAGGTCTGCTGGAAGTTGAACTGAAGAGTATCTGCCGTCTCAGAGATAGGTAACTCTGTACCCCATTCGTTGGTGTAAGTGACGCCGGAGCATCCGGAAGCCACGGACTTCTTGTAATCCTGCAGCTGGTCGCGACAGTCGCTGGTGCAAATCTTGTCAAGACCATGCTGCGAGTAAAAGTTGTTGGAGTTTAGACCGCGCACGGCGTCGATGCAAGAAGTTAAATTGGTACTGAGTGCGTCTGCACACTCATCTTTGTAGTCACCAACATGATCGTCAGGAAAGGGTTGAAAACAGGTAATGAGTGTAAAAAGAGAGAAGAAAAGAGTGTACTGCGCAAGCGAATTAACGAAAGACATGGTCGGAAGCATGGGCGGGTGGTTAGGGGACAGGCCGGGGCGGACGGCTTCCTGTACAAAAGCATTATATTTGAACAGAGGGTGCCAATTGATGAACATCGGCCCCATCTCTCTGCGCCGGCTTTAAAATGCGATCGGCCGGAGAATCCCCACTTTGGGCAAAATGCAGCTTTACAAGGGTCTTTGCCCACATCGAACTCCACAGGGACGGTTAGGGCTTGATTGGCCAACTGGATGTAGTTCGCCAAGACTGTTCCCGCTGTCTGTCTCCATGGGGAGGGTGTGTGTGATTTTTGCACTATGTACTATGTACGGAGTACGGAGAATAGAGTGAATTGGGAAGATCCGCTGTTCCTCGCTCGAGGTGCTTCTCCTTCTGGGTTTGATAGTATTTAGTCCTCCATGGCCAGCCCGCTCTGAAGGTGCTTCAACCCGTCCTTCATTTCCTTCACTCATTCATTCATTCATTCATTCATTCATTTACTCATTCGTTCATTCATTGATTATTCTCACACTCTTTCTCCCTCACCATGGCTCGAGGGTTACTGAGCCTGTTCTTTCTTTTATTTTTTCTTTCAAATGCGATAGCCGATCTTGCTGGCGACCTGAGCAGCGAGCTTAGCTCGCTGAAGCTCATGGGCAATGACAAGTACAGTTGCAGCAAGGATAAGCCATGCTCTAACGGAGCCTGCTGTGGTAAAAACGGCGTTTGTGGCTTCGGCAAAACATACTGTGGTACCACTGGCAAGTCTCCCAACGACGCCTGTTGGAGTAACTGTAATGCACATGCAGAGTGCAGCAAAGATGCAAAGGAGCCTGGCAAAGAATGTCCTCTGAACGTCTGCTGCAGTGAGTTCGGCTTCTGTGGTACTACCGAGGAATTCTGCGGTGATGGATGCCAGAGCAAGGATAAATGCAAACAGCCTGACTCTGGTGCCTCTGGTGGCAACGTCCAGGAGCGTATCATCGGATACTATGAGGCGTTCAAGTACGATTCAGACTGCCAAGACATGAAGATTCATCAGATCCCCGTTGAGAGTCTAACTCACGTCAACTGTATGTCTCCCTTTCTACTGCAATATGCCTCGAGTACTAACTTTCAATAGATGCCTTCGCTTATATCGACCCTGATAGCTACGACATTGGTCCTATGCCCGACATCGAAGAAAAAACCCTCAAAGACTTCACTGCTCTCAAGGAGCGCAACCCACACGTTGTTCTTGGTGTCTCGCTCGGAGGCTGGACATTCAACGACAATAAGACCGACACACAAAAGGTCTTTGCCGAGATAGCCTCTAAGGAGGATAAACGTTCCAAGTTCATCGACAAGCTTCTTTCCTTCATGCGCCACTATGGCTTTGACGCTGTCGATATCGATTGGGAGTACCCAGGTGCTCCTGATCGACAGCCCAAAGGCTGGGACTCCAAGGATGATGGAAAGAACTACGTGAAGCTCTTACAAGACATTCGGAAGGCCTTCGATGACCAGGACCTGGAGTACGAGCTCTCCTTCACTGCCCCTACTTCCTATTGGTACCTCCGCTGGTTCGATATTCACAACATGGTCAAAGCCGCAACTTATATGAACTTGATGAGTTACGATCTCCACGGTGTTTGGGACTCTAACAACCCCATTGGTAATCATGTCCTCGGACATACCAACATGACAGAGATTGACCAAGCCTTGGATCTTCTCTGGAGGAACGATGTCCCTGCTAAGAAAGTCAACATGGGTCTCGCCTTCTACGCGCGAACCTTCGAACTCAAGGATAAAAAATGCCATAAGCCGGGCTGCACCTTCAAGCATGGCGGCAAGAAGGGTGCTTGCACTGATACTGAGGGTATCCTTTCTTACAATGAGATTGTCGGAATCATTGCAGACGATGAAATCAAGCCGGTCTACGACAAAGAAAACGCAATCAAGTATCTCGTCTGGGATGAGAACCAGTGGATCTCATACGATGACCAGCAAACATTCCAGCAGAAGATCAAACTGTTCAACGAGAAGGGATTAGGTGGTCTTCTTATCTGGGCCATCGACCAGGATACCCGGAATCTCGATGCCCTTCGCGGTGTTCTGTACCCCGAGGACGTTGTGATGACGGACAGTATGAAGGATGACACCAGCTACTGGGAAAGCCAACATCCCGGTGACTGTAGAACTACAGAGTGTAGTAAGCACTGTCCTACGGGTACCATCGAGATGGACACTTTCAAATGCCCGGATGGTGGTGATAAGGGCGACTCCCGCATCTGCTGTCCTATCGCTGCTGCCCCTGACCCAGATACCTGCCACTGGCGTGGTGGTGAGTCTGGAAGTCTTTGTAACGGGCAATGCCATGGTGGTGAAGTGGCCCTGGCCTCGGCCGTAGATGGAGGCAACGGTCACTGTTCAGATGGTATGTTTTTATTCCTCTCATTCCATTAGTACAAGTTCACTAACAATCACAGGACGTCAATTCTACTGTTGCCCTATCCCCGAAGTTGCTGCTGGTGGCTGTATCAACTGCGGCTGGAAGGATACGTGCTCAGATGACCAAGAGCCCTTGACGTTCGCCGGAACATTCTTGGAGGCTGTCTCCGATGTGTTGGACTACACTGGACTTTTCGGCCAGGCGCTGGCTGATTTCCTTGACGACGTTGACATGGATAACATGCGACAATACTGCTGCTCCAAGGAAGAGATCAAGAACTGGAAAGACTGCTATTGGGCTGTATGTTTTCTTTTTTACCCGCCATCGGAATGCCTAAAGCTGACAGTATGACAGGGAAGAGGTGGTCGATCCATTTATAGCTGCGATGACAACCACTGCAACACTGGGCACGAGGCTGAGCTTACCCTGAGTCCATACGGTGAAGGAGAGGACTGTATGCCAACGTGAGTTACGTCGATCCCTATGGATAGTGATAGTACAAGCTGACAGAGAGTAGTTCTCGTCAACGAGCCTTCTGCTGCACACCCGCGAGTGGTGAATCGCTTTTCATGCCAGTTCCTTTAGAGTATCTCTTTGAGAATCCTCCAGAGAATGCTGATGACCCCGACTTCAATCTCTCAGTGGACGACACCTGGGGCACTGGTGACACTCAAGGTGATTCTGACGAAGAACCCGATGATGCTGCTTTTGGATTTGTGGTTATCACCGCCCCCGACGAGGTCCATGTTAGCTTAGACAAGCGTGATGGCTCGCCCTGGGAGTTGATGGATTGTCCTGATAGCGATAGCGAAGAGGAGCATACTGTCCGCATGATCTGTACCGATTCCTCCGAGGACAGCAAATGTGACCACATTCACCGCGGACAAGGTGCTCCTGGTACCATTCTCCAAATGCCTAATCGCTGTGGCCCCGGTCGGTATGCCGTCGCAAAGGAGCTTAAGGAGTCCCAGAACCAGACTCTCCCGGGTCATCTGAACAAGCGTGACCTTGATGGCAGATCCGTCTACGACTTGACCTTTGACTACGACTTCAAGCGTGTCCCTCGTGATTACGGTGATGCATTGATGCGTATTGACTATAGTAACCAGCCTGGATACTGGGACTCTGTTGTCGACAGACCGGCTAGTGACTCCGAGCGAAAGGTTAAACGCGCAAAGCGGGATGAAACCGGCTACCACAAGAATCGCAAGCGTTGGCTAGAAGATGAATGGCGTGATGCGTATCATCATGGCGGTATGGAACGCCATGAGGTTCACAAGCGTTGGTTCGGCGAGGATATCCTTAACTGGCTCGGTCAATTGATCACCACTGGTGAAGCTAAGGCCACCAAGGAGCTCAACCATAAGGTCAAAGAGAAAGTTGAGCTCCTTCTCATAGATCAGCAGTTCGGACCATGCCCGGTTGGTGGAGCCCAGGCCCAGGCGAATATTCGATCTTCTATCACAGCTTCAATCGATGTTGAGACCTCCTTCGGTATCACCATTATCACCACCCTTGCAGAGGGAATGGATCTCAGTAGATCCTACCTTTACTTCAGAAACGCTGGAGAGGTTGAGGCCAGGTTTGAACTTGATGCTGTTGCTTCTCTTACCTACTCGACCGGTGATATCAAGCTGCTCGGTCTCGACGACTTCCCCGGCGCCACTTTCCGCGTGCCCGGAGTTGTCACAGTCGGCCCTAACCTTGCCGTCTATGCCTCCGCAGATGCCTCGATTGTTCTAGCGGGACACCTGGAAGCAGACGTTACTCTCGCATCCTGGGAAATTCAATAGACCTACCCTCAAAATAATGAATACCCAGAAAAGGCCCTCGATGAGCCTGACCGTGAGGCTAAGACTATTGGCAAGCCCCATTTCGATGCCTCTGTCTCTGCCAACGGCGAGATTGCGTTGCATCTCAAGCCCACTGTCAGCTTCGGAATTGACTTCGATGACCGTTGGAAGGTACCCCGGTGTACCGTTGATCTTGTCCTGGATGGATATGTGATCGGGCACGCGGAAGCTTCCTACTCACTCAATGGCGACAACAGCTGTCCCTTCAGCTATGGTATCGATGCTGGCTCGACAATGTACGCACAGCTTGACGCCCCTGAGGAGTTTGGCTGGGGAGATGATCTCCGAGTCACACTCGCAGAGGTGCCCAGGAAGCAAATCACGCCTTCAACCTGCGTTGGCGACAAGGGTAAGCGAACTTTTATGGGGTATGAGGCATACAATTCTTCTGTGGAGAAATCTACCTCGCGGAGAGATGAATACATGCCTATGCCTGTTTCTCATTCGATTGCCAAGCGTGACACACTTACCCTTGGTCCTCTGGTAACGATTCCTGATGACTTCCTCAATTGCCCTGGACAGGGTGGTGGGGAGAATTTTTGCGTAATGTGCTCAATGTACGGCACGAAGGTCAGTGACAGTGATGACTCAAAACGAGATGTCGCTTCTCTGTTCGGCCGTGACGATGGTGGTTCTTGTCCGTACTACCCACCTGGAGATGGTGGAAAGTGCTACGATACAGATTCGTACCTTTTCGAACGTGACCCACAAGAAACCAAAGACCTGACACTCAACTTTATTAATAATAATGCGAAGTTTGATTATTTGAGGTACCCGGTGTAATGCCAAGGACGATGGGCCGTCGGGTGTGGCAAAGGTGAGCTCGCATTGTGTTCTTTTCCCTCTCTGCCTGAATGAAGTGGAAATACTAATGAGTATACAACAGTGGTATCTTCCTGAGTTTATGCTATCTAGCTCAAAAGATATCAACGACAACAGAAGGTGCTCGGCAAAGACAACAAAGGAGGCTTCTACCAAGTCAGCGAACAACGAATACCTCATAGACAATAATGACGATTTACCCGCTTCGGACTTCCGCACGGAGCACGTTTTCGAGGTACACCTGGTCAGCCATTTCCTTGAGTGGGTGTGCGCAGGGAAGGATGAATTCAAATACGGGATTTTTAAAAAGCTTCCTTTCCCTACTGGTTGGACCCGCCCTGATTCTACTTGGTGCACCGATGTGTTTGGAGGTAAGAATTCCAGAAGAGTATGAGTAACGGATTGGCGTAAACTAACGATATGTGTACAGGTCCCGATGACGGAATGCAGTGGTCAAGAAACAATGGAAAACCAAAGAACTGGGTTCAACATACTGCTGACTTTCTGGGAAGCGAGGATAACCTTGACCTGCTCGTTATGTATCACCATAAACCCAACGGAGTCAAACAAGTGATTACCGAAGGAAAGAAGTCTGGTATCCCCAAGGACCAACCGAAGAAGGGGATTAAGGTTGAGCCAAAAGATATAGCGGACAGGGTCATGATGAGTGCCACTGTTTTTGACTACCTGCGAGAACTCAGCGACAAGTGGACCAAGCCCAGCCAGAACATCGAATTGATCTCGGACGAATTCGACCATGAGTATACCCGCCAATATAATGCCCAGAACCAACCAAAAGGAAAGCCCCTCAAGAAAGACGATACCCCCCGTGGCCTCAAGCACTGGGGTTTGCGTACCCTATGGGCCTACTGGATTGACAACCACCTGGCCAAGATTGAACAGATTCAGTCGGATTGGCACAAGACCGCTAAGGACAGGATGAGTACCATGAAGGATGCCCAGGGCAAGATAGACGACGTCGCAAAGAAATTCGCAGACATCACCATGACTACTGGAGATGCAACAGTAGAAAAATTTATGTTCCCCATGTCAAACCCGGGTAACCCGCTTCCTGGCACTGCGACAAGTTCATCAAATGACCAAAGTAAGTACGGAACGTGGGGAGGTAACAACCTTGGAAAGCTGGGCCTGTAGTAGATTTGATATTTTTTGGATGTATATAAAGTTAGATGAGAAGTGGTTAGAGATGAGACCGCCCGAGAAGTACCTAGTTCAAACTGTTAATTCAAGTTGTCGGGACTGTAACTTGCAATTTGATACTCCAGTCTGCGTTTGGTCGATTAGCCCTAACTGTCGATCTTCTCCGTGCTTACGTAACCCCTCTCCCCTCCAGTCCATTTAACTAAGCCCGTCGTTCCCAACGTTTACTTCACTGGTCTTTTTGTTTTCCATCAAGTGTTATTTACCCCCCAAAGACCAGTCGCCATGTCTAGGTCTTGGAAACAAGTGCGCACTTACGCTGACCATCTGGGTCATCCTGTCGTGCTCGAGCAGTACGTAAACCCAGAATACGAGCTAGAGCCCAGTGAACTAGTTGCCTTTCAGGTCTACAGCCTTGTTCCCCTGGACGACGACCACGACGAGCTCCGAGATTACCTCTTGCAGATGTTCTGGAATGATGAAGTCAAGCCTTTGTTCGAGATTTATTCATACCGCCCGCCCGATGGCTTTGCCTGCATTGAGCATAATCGCATTGAAATCGCCCGTCGCAAGCAGCAACATCAGTCAGGGGTCGAGAATCCCCTCCCACTGATTCCGAGATTCAATCGTCCATATTCATCCTCGAATGTTGGATTTTGTGTCCTGCTGCGATCGCACAGTTATCGAGTGGGCAATATGCAGGACTCGGAGGAGGCTGAGGAGATAGGCGAAGGCCCAGACTTGCTCTATTTCAATCGCACATTTTCTAGCACGCGCACTGAGGTTGGCGTGGCGCAGTATTTGCGTGAGGGCCAAGAGGAACTCCCGTCAGAGGCATTTGAATTTGTCATCGAGCGCCTTATGGACCAGATCTACATAGGCCAGTTGATGATTCTCGATATCTTCAATAATGTCCCTCGCTATCCGGAGCGAGACGCCTTAGATATTGACGAGGGAGAGCCTCCTAGCCAGGATATGCCGACAGAAGAACAGATTCGTGACCAGCTAGACCAAGAAACCTCAGTTGGCGGCTTCTCTCTTGATCCGGCATTCCATATTTCTCAGGAAGCCAACATCGTGACAGTCACCAATACCCCTGAGGGCAAAACCCCTGATATTCAATACATTGTCCATGCGGCCTTTCTCAGCCACATACCCGATGCAGAAGGTTCCTCTATCTTGGAAAGCACAGCGCGCCTCTTTACGGCGTCAATGGTCTCCAACCTCCCGGCCAACAAAACTCTCACTCTCAAATTCTTCATTCCAAAGTCCAATTCCTGGTCGGCCATCAGGCCCGCCCAAAACGAAGTTCTTGAGATCCTATCCCAGCAAAATGAAGAGAACCGAGAAAATCCCTTTTCTATTGGCGCCCTACACAATATCACAACAGGCGATAGTCAACCCCTAGCAGCAAAACGTTTTACTCCTCAAAGACCCGACCAATATATTAAAAGCTCACAGGGGGCGTGCGACGATAGCGGATTTCGCATGTTCACAGTTGTTCTTGACCGTGCAAAGTTTGTCTCAGAGGCTGGGGTGTACTTCTACATGACGGACTCGGACGAGTCTGAGGATCCGGACACTTCATCTGATGATACGATCGTTTCCCGGGTTGTAGACATGAATACGGCTGCTCGGCGGCTAGGGGTGGTTGTTCTTGATGAATGAGCTAGTCTAGTAGGTCAATTATGCATGTCTATTCCTATTTATTTTGATCCGCAAGACAACTAAGTAAACTGAAGGGGAGGGGAGTCTTCCTCAAGTTTCACTGTTCATCGACGTGGACACCGGCATTCCTGAAGTGTCCCCTCGCACTTTGCTCTCCTGCTTCCACTCGTTCAACACACCACTCCAGAAAAATATGAAAGCCCTGTTCAGGACTGTCTTGGTAGTATCCCCAATGCCTCCGAATAAAAGATTTGAGTTCGGAGAAAAACTCCTCGATAGGGTTTAAGTCAGGCGAATAAGGAGGCAAATATATCAGTTTTACTCTCACGTCCAAACACAGTTGTTCCATACGGTCAGAATGATGGAATGAAGTGTTGTCCATCACCAGAACAGACCTGGGCTCTGGCCATTTTCCATAGTGTTAAAGAAGCTCCTTAATAAAGTCTTTAAAACGCAAGGTATCTGTTGAGCCCCAGAATATCCGTGACAGAATAATACCATCTTCGGAATATGCTGGCAAGATCTAGTATCGTTGGTCGCGGTGGAATTTGGAGACCTAGATCGGTGTAGTGCTGAGCGGTGGCTAACCTGTTCTTCGGAAACCAACCCGTTTATCATGGCCAGACTCGTTAGGATATACTAGATATTGGGACCGAAACTCGGACAGATTGTGGAGGTAGCAATCCCGTAGATCCTGATTCTGCTCTCTCGCCCTCTAACAAGCCGCCTTCTCGGACCAATTGCTCGAGATTAGCGCTCGCCTTATGATAGCAGTCGTTGCCTGTGTGCCAAACTTATCCTGGAGGAAAATCGCCATCTTATCGAGGTAAAGATCGGGCTTCTCCGCTAAGTGGTCAAAAAGGGCTTCTAGCATCGGGGTTGTGATACTTCGTGGTCTGCCTGCTCAAATGGGAGGCGCTCGAGTGCCTACCGAACTGTCGCATGTTACTGCGGATCGTAGTGATCGAACGTGGGCTACACCCAGCGGCATCAGCAATCTGGGTTTTAGTTAGTGATTTACTCAGGATCATATCCCGAATGAACTCTCGCGCGGAAGATGGCAGAGTCGGTGCCATCGTGCCTTAGTATCTTAGTCTTAGTAGGATAGTAGAGACAACGTGCGCACCCCATCTAACCCATTGAATTTAAAAGCATTTATCTCAACCATAACGCCATTAAATTAAATACACTAAAAACATCTATCTAGCTGGGCATCTATTGTATATATGCCCTGTTTCTCTGCACCTACTACACCTTTATAGCGCCCGCGTATGTGGTTTTAAAGCCGGTTCTCTAGATATACCGGGGCTGAGGGGAGGTACTTTATCTGCTTCCACTAGCTCAGCAATCAATTAAGAAGCTTCTTAAACTGAGAGGCCTTCTTCGGCGGGTACCTGCCTTTAGAATCGAGTACGCTTTTACTTCTGCTTCTCGTTACCGGCGCGTAAATCGCTTACTTCTTTCTCGAGAAATGTAGCGGATTGCGGGTGAGCCTCATTACGGGGGAAACTGGCCCGATGAATGCATAATGCTGGCTGTCAGGAATAACATGGGTCACCAAGCCCTAGAGGTGTGAGAGGAGGTCTGTAATGTTCATATTTCAGACAATACTTTGAAACAAAGGGCGAGGGAGTTGTAATTAATCAATTTCGCAAGGCAAGTGCAGTAATTATTTCTAGAATATCTCTAAAATCTATATATATATATATATATATTAGTATAGAAGTGAATATCGACACAAGGGAATGACCCTTCGCTGACTCTGACTATTCCTCGAAGCGCTGGTCCCCAAGATCCTGCCCCTTGAGATTAATTTCATCCAAAAACACTGAAGTCAGCAATCCCAGTCCACTCAGGCCAGTCATCGTATAAAAGATCGTCTGGAAGCACTTTAGATAGACTCGCAGAACCTCGTCTAGCATTGTAAAAGATACATTTAGGAATCTCAACTCGTCAATGAAGTTCACAGCATTGGAGGCGTCTTTCAGAGGTGCCAAAGCCCCCGTCAGCTGAATGGTAGTATTAGAAATGGATGCCGAGAAAACATTGTTGAAAATGGCCGAAGAGATAGTAAGGCCAACAAGACCCCCAAACAAGCGAATGGCGAGAAACTGCCCCATAGCTAAGCTTGTGTCGTCAACATTTTTGACGCTAGCTTGCATGGGAAGAATATTGAGACGTAGTAGCGCAACACCTTGTCCCCAGAGAATAGGAAGCCCATAACGCATAGATGACGAGGTTCCTACATCAAAGAGGGCTAGCAAACCGGTTCCGAGCGTAAGAACAACCCACGAAAGCCTTAGAAGCCATACGTATCCTCCAAACAATGGGACCATCAACATTGAGACGGCTGCGACTACCACGCTGATAATAACAGTGGGCAATAGGGAGAGAGCCGATGAAATAGCACTCTCTAGCTCCACCGCTTGGTATAGCAAAGGCAAGTACTGTAACAGAGATACCATAATTATGCCGTGGATAAAGCCTCCGACCAGCGTTAGGTTTCCAGTCTTGGAGCCGAAAATTCGATAAGGAATGATAGGCGCCAAGGGTTTCGCCTCGTAAAAGACGAAGATGACAAGCACCGCAACTCCCAACAATAGTGGAAGGAGAGTCTGCCAAGAGGCCCATGGGAATAAGGTGCCTGCCCAACTAAGAGGTGCAACAAAAATTGTAATTCCAATAATAACAAGCGCCATACCGATCCAGTCGAGGCGTTTTAAGTTGCTGGCTAGCGTTGCATCGAGTGGGACGGGTCGAAGTTTGAGGAAGAAAAAGACCAAAGGTATGCCAATTCCTAACAACGGCAGGTTGATCCAGCCAATCCATCTCCAGGTAGCATAGGTCGAGAAAAGCGCACCGACAACAGGCCCCATAATATTGCCAATCGCCGAAGGAATGGCCATTAAGCCGAGATATCTCGAGCGCTCTTCCAGCGTCGTCATATCGGCGAGAATAACCATCACCAGGAGGTCAAGTCCACCACCGCCGAGGCCTTGGAGGACCCGTGCGACAATTATAGTGTTCATGTTTTGTGCTATAGCGAAAATAATGGAACCGATAAAAAATAGTCCCATAGATACGTATAGGGGTGGCTTTCGGCCGAAGGCGTTGGAAATACTGGCCCAGACTGGTTGGGTGACCAGTCCACATAAGGTGTAAGCAAGATTCGCCCAGAAAGACTCCAAGCTTGAGCCCTTTAGCTCGCCTGCTATAGTCTAGCGATGAGGATTAGTTATTTGGCGTGAGTAGCATAGAGTGGGGAGGGTTTATGGCTCACTGGAAGGGCGATACCCAGGCAGGTGGCATCCACCTGAAAAACAAAAAGGCTAGCAGCAAGCCCTACGAAGGCGAGCTTAAAGGAGAGAGATTTTCTTGGCGTTGGTGTTGTGTTTTCTACTCCATCTCGCTTTTGTGGGGTGGGTAGTTCCTTGGTTTCCGGCAATATTTCCACGTCTTCGGCTATATCTGAGTTTCGTTCCAGGTCTTGTTCTTCCGGGTTTGGGATGATGGCCGGAGAGAACTCGGTACTTGGGCTGATGTTGGCCTTTGGGTGGTCCATTCTGTCTGTAGAGTTCCGAGTACGTTGAGTGGTTATTCTAGCGAAGCAACATTCCTGCAAGAGTGAAAGCGAGTGAAAGTAGAGGTTGTGGAGACGAGTCCAATCCACCAGGACATCCGGCCGGACTTTGGCGGTGCTTGGCACTCTAGTGCGTGCGAATCTTCCAGGATGGTGGGGGCCAAAAAAAAAACATAATCTTAAGGTTAAGCGTTGACCGTGGTATCGGATTCAACTGCCCCGTTTTACCTTATCGATCTGCACATCAATAAGATTCTCTCGTTGACTCGGTCGCTAGCGAAGACTCTCAGCGAGTTGATAGTCAACTGGGGATTGAGAGTTGCCCCGGCTCAACGGGTGAGCCGGTTGAGACCTAATGGATATGGTGGCAGGGGTAGAAAGGGGTATCTCCTAGTGAGAACACCCACGACCTCTTTCTTGCTATAGTTAAACGTAGAGTATAGCTCTGGTATCGTGTTTCAGATTCACGATAAGCGATATCGTGTACCTGCTCCTCCGCTTTTTCTTAGGGTCATCAATACCAAGGCCTATCCCGGTAACTCGATAAGATATTTATCCAATGTTAGGGCTACATATTTTGGTTCCATGTGTGGCTGCTTGAGCGGGCCGCTAAATCCTTAAGATACAATTGGTCACATCACCTATCTACCTATTAATTCCCTAGGATCTTGCTTCCGACGAGGTAGATTCGTTCTCCGAGTGAAGATCACTATATGCAGAATTCAGTTCCTCTATCTCTCATCACTATCTACTTTTGTATTCTATAATTCCCTCCACCACGTAACCTAACACATACGACCATAGGGTGTGGAAAACAGGGCTTCCCGTCCGCTCAGCCGTACTTAAGCCACACGCCGGTGAGTTAGTAGTTGGGTGGGTGACCACCAGCGAATCCTCACTGTTGTATGTTTTTTGTTTTTTGTTTTTGCTTTTTCGGCGGGGCAGTCTGGGTGAAATGTAATAGTAGCTTTAAGCTAACTTTGACTAGTCAGAGCGGGTGACGGCCGGAGCACTGCTTGCTTGGCCCAGACCAGTTGTCGAAATTGTAAATATTGTCTGATAATATATCATATTGTAGTAAAAAACACACGATATGCTAGTTATCACCACTGCTGAATCACTGTTGGGTTACTGTTAGGTCATTATATTGAGCGCGTTGATAGAGGTATCGACATTAAACATGTTAGTCGATAGGCGGGCTCGGTATAGCGGCCGTGTCGCCGAGAATGGTGAGTTTGGCTTGAAAATGACAACTGATAGGGATGCAAGGATTTCGAAAGATTTTTGCGGGGCTTGCTAGAGCTTTCCTGTGGATTGATATATATGATTTTATCGTGCTCGGTTGTACCTTTATTTTTGCCGTTAGCCTTAATATGCGCTCGGGATAAATCTGATTTCCCGATACCGAACAACAGATAATTCCATATTATTCTCGATATCTGCCTATCGTGCCATTCATATGTACTGATTCTTTCTTCGTGTACCAGCGCTGTCTTCTCTGGACGACCCTAAGACAGTGGTTTTATGGGCATTGGTAGAACTATCCAAGAGCACTCTCAAACCCAGATGTCATATCCATCAGTCATGACGACCTTAATCCAAAACCCTCGGTTGCGCCTACTTAATGCTCTGCGAGCTGGCTCAAAACCTATTATGACCTTTTTGGGGCTTCCGTCCTTCCGCACAGCCCAAGTTGTGGCTCAGACCGGCGTCGATGTCAGCATTTCTCCTCCACAGATGAACGTCCCCACTGATGATGATCACAAAGGGTATTATTATTGACTGTGAGCATGGATACATTAGCGATGATTCCATGCACAGCTCGACTGCCGCTATCGCTGCGCTGGGGGTGTCGCCGCTTGTTCGTCTGAGAATGACCCATGCAGATTTGATCAAAAGAGCTTTAGATGCTGGTGCACAGTAAGTGACAACACCTACTCCACCATTCTCCCACTAAAAATGTGACAAGCGGCATCGTTGTACCTCAAATCAACACAGCGGAAGAAGCCAGAACTGTTGTGTCCTATTCAAAATTCCCCCCACAAGGGCTTCGAGGGCAAGGCTCAGCGTTTCCAGCCATCGCTCACGATATCGATATCCCGACATACATGAATACGGCGAACGAAACGATTATCATATGTCTTCAAATTGAATCAAAAGCGGGAGTCGAGAATGTTGACGCAATCTGTGCTGTACCGGGTGTCGGTAAGTGATTGACTCAACTCCTAAGAATGGTTTGGCTAATACAGGCAAGATATGATCTTTATTGGGCCAAACGACCTTGCTCTGTCGGTCCTTGGGTATCTCCCTGCAAAAGGGGACGAGCCCGAGTTTGTCGACGCAATCGAAAAGATCGTGGCAGCAGCTAGAAAACATGGCAAATGGGTCTGTCGATTGTCAAATAACGGGACTTTGTGTAAGGAACATCTAAAAGTGTTCGATACTGTAGCGATGAGTTATGATATTCGGGCGATGCAAAACTGGTATACAGCTGAGCTGGAAATTGCGCGCTCATGACCGCTTATATGTTGGATGAGAGAGAACTTTAATCTGTGTCTATCTCAATGGTTAAAGAACAGCTTACATGTAGAGTAAATACGGCGTTAATTGGAACTAGTATAAGAAAAACATTTTAGCTTAGTGTGGGAATCATAAAGTGCTCAACTGGCGAATACCTTTGGAATGTATGACTATATATGGCGAACTTAGAACCATAGACTACTTTGTAATGAATGAGTAGAGGTGTTTCATGTACGTGACAAACGTAATACACCCTTACAACGTTTATCAGATGTCCCCAACAAAGAAAAACAGACCCCTGATGAAATTTTCAGCTAATCCTTATCCTTTACGCTGTAGTGTATGATAACCGAGCTGCTCTCGCGCCTTAGCGATTGTGGCTCCGCCAGCGATCATTTCCCGAATACTAGCTTCGCTTTTCTCAACCTTTCGTGCTACTTTGGCCACCTCGCGGGCTCGATCTCGAGGAACAACAACGACACCATTTGCATCGGCAACAACAATATCGCGAGGCTCGACACGAACCTTGCCGATACCAATCGACTGGTTAACACCTCCCATTTGAACCCGATCCTTTCCGGTTCGCATCCAACGCCCAGCAGTAAAGAGCGGGTAGTCATCGTTTATCGCCCGGTTCACATCTCGGCACACACCGTCGATAACTGATCCAGCAATGCCCCGTAAACCGGCGTATTGAGTCATGATATCGCCCCAAACAGTACAATCTGTGCGACCACCATTATCGATGACTACAACATCGCCCACGGCAACATCGTCAATGAAATCACCAACACTTCCTGGTGGGTCGCTGGCAGGTACGTAACGTACGGTGAAGGCTGGGCCGACGGTAATCTTGTTGTAATTTGCCAAAGGCATAATACCAAACGCTTGTCCAGAAATTCCAAGGTTATCAAGTGCGTCAGAGACCGCAGGGGTATCTAAATTGGCAAACAGCGCTACCAACTCTTGGTCCTCAAGGCTAGCTTTCTTTGGGTTTCCTTTGAAGGACGGCGCGGCTGCCGCGAATAACTGTGACGATTTACGCTCGCGAATGGCTTCGAATTGCGTGTCGTGCATAACCTCGGACACCGGGTGACCAGCTCGAACAGCCTGAACCATAAGGGTCTGACGACGGTCGATCCGCTCGCCATAGTCCAGGACCTCTTCAATGCTCTTGGCGGGGACGAACACTGTCCCGCAGCGATCGGCAATCACATAGTCGTCCTGGTTGACGGTGACACCCCGCATCTGCAACGGTGAGCCAGAGTCAACTTGGACCAGGCGGTTGCGCGCGCTTATCATTGTCACGCCACGACCGTAAAGGGGATAGCTGAGATCGCGGCTGCCGTCGATGTCACGACTCATGCCATCGATGATGGTTCCACGAATGCGCCTCACTTTCGAGGCATTGGCAATGATATCACCCCAGCATGAGACGCCATCGATGCCACCGGAGATGACGAGAATGCGATCGTCCGTAGTTACCGCATCTATGACCGGGGTGAGTAGATGAGCTGTGGGAGAAGCATCAGTCTTCGGGCCCAGTTTCACTGTACTGGCGCGTCCGACAATCTTTGGACAGTCCCAGAGTTGTCGTAAGCCGTATGTGGCTCCTTTGAGACCGAGAAAATCCAAGGCATCAGACACTGTATTGGTGTCGAGCGCTGAAAGTCGGTCCAAAATGCTAGACTGGCTCATTATGTCAATTGTGATAATTGAGTGAATAATAGAAATATTGAATAACCGTCGAAGATAAATGGTTTATATTAACTTCCAAAGGCGAAGTATTGAGCGCTCATTCATGGATGTCGGTAAGATACTATTTCACCGATTTGGACACGCTCGCACTTTAATTTATTCGGCTTCTTCTATAGACACGTACATAATATGGACATTGAACACCCAAATCGGTACATGGAGTATTCGCCGACATTAGCCCCCTGGATTGTTTCGTCAATTTATCGACAAAGCTGGTCGACAGCGATAAATATCACCATCCCGAGTTGATGACTCGGCAACTGGTGACTATGCCGTTTCGAACCGAACGTTATAATCGTTGCCCAAGTACACGGTGCAAGCACACATTTGGTGTCCAAACATCATTATTTTTAATAGATCATCCTCTCCACATTCACCTACGTACCAAGGCACTTTTTCGGCTCTACAGTGCAACCTAGTCAACCCCACCTTCAATAGGGACCACCGGCTTCAAAAACACCGCCACCTCAAAGACCAAGCTCAAAAATGGCGAAGCAATATCTTGACCTCCAGGTTTCCCCCGCGGACATTGCCTTCGGTCTGATGGCCGAGTTTGAGGCAGACCCTCACCCAAAGAAAGTTTCACTAATCGCCGGAGCATATCGCAACGAGAATGGAGAGCCTTGGATCCTGCCAAGCGTCAAAGAGGTACTGCCAAAATCAATTTGCAGAGTAAAACAGCCATTAACAATGAAAATAGGCAAAGCAACGCCTTAGCAAAACTACCCACGAATACCTGGGCATAGCAGGCTCGCCAACCTTCACCAACCTGGCAAAGGACCTCATCTTCGGCTCCATTGCTTCCAGCCTCCAAGACAACGCAGCATCAATCCAAACGGTTTCCGGCACAGGCGCAAACCACCTCGCAGCCATATTTCTAGCCCGCCATCTCCGCCCAAATCGTGTCTTCATCCCCTCCCCAACGTGGGTCAATCACAAGTCTATCTGGAAGATGACCGGGGTTCCGATTGTAGAGTATTCGTACTTCTCCCCTGACACAAGAGAGGTAGATATAACCGGGGTATTAGATACCTTGGGCCATGCCGAACCCAACGACGTCGTCATCCTGCAAGCCTGCGCGCATAATCCCACCGGCGTGGACTTCTCAAGGGCCCAGTGGATAAAGGTTTCTGATCTCGTCCAGCGGAAAAAAGTCTTCACAGTCTTCGACAGTGCGTACCAAGGCTTCGCAACGGGTGATGTTGACGGCGATACGTGGGCGGTTCGTCATTTTGTAGAGAATGTCCTCTCATCTGAGACGCATCCCGGCCTGTGTGTTGCTCAGTCGTTCTCGAAGAACTTTGGTTTGTACGGCGAGCGTGTGGGTGCTCTGCATCTGGTTGTACCGCGGCATCTTTCAGCAAAGGGTGCGCTATCTGAACTGATGTTGATTTCGAGAACGGAGTATTCCAATCCACCGCGATTTGGGGCGAGTATTGTTGAGACTGTCCTTGGGGATCAGGGTCTGAGGGCCCAGTGGAAAGCAGACTTGAATACGATGAGCTCACGTATCCAGAGGATGAGGGGTTTGCTGAGGCAACGGCTGGAGAAGGAGACGCTGGAGGATTGGTCACATGTTGAGAAGCAAATTGGGATGTTCAGCTATACGGGGTTGACGGCGAAGCAGGTGTTTCGACTTCAAAGGGATTTTCATGTCTATCTGTTGCCCTCAGGTCGGATGAGTGTGTGTGGACTGAATGAGGGTAACATCGACTATGTGGTGCATGCTGTTGGTGAAGTCGTCAAAACTGGTTGTGTTTAGTTCTTTGAAACCAAGACCACAACCGCGGTAGCCAGTCTATCCTAGGTCAGAGTGGTATTCGGCAGTGACATTTTTTTCCACTTTCCAGGCTCTCTATTGATTTCCCATTAAATGGTTCCGCGCCATTAAAAGAAAATCCGCTGTTTCTCGAACGGTACCTAGGGGGCCGGGCCTTCCGCTTCTTAACTCTATCTGTCGCTGCTACATAAGCAATTTCGCGAACCTTCATATACTACTAGTTGGACTGAAAAGTCAACACTTAACTGAATTAAGGACAATTGTGGCTAACCTCATGAGATCAGGACAGAAGTAAGCGACTGGCTCCGGGTTCCTGAGTCCAGAAAGGGCACGGGGTGAGAAAGATACAACACTTAATGGGCTGAACAACGATTGTGGGCAACATCATGGCATCAAAGCAGAGAAAAATTCGCTCCGGAATGCGGAGTCTAGAAATGGAACGGGATGATGGATATGACACGGGAGTTACCGATGCTTACGAGGGTCAAGTCTGAGCATGTGGCGGGTTATAAAAGGCATCATCCTGCTCACGGTAAATGAATTAATAATCGCCTATACAACCGAACTAAACAACATCTACCTTAACCTAGCCTTTTTTTTACTATTTCAGAATTAACTCTAACGATGAAAGCCACCATTTTTATACTTGCTTGTCTGTCTGTCTCGGGAGTTTTTGCAAGCCCCCTCGACAAGAGAGCAGACCGCGGATCCGAGAATGTCCCTGGTATCGGCTCTCACAAGCAAGCCATACTGAATGCAGGTGGCAATACTCTGGACCTTGCTATCGCCATGCTTGAAACGTAAAAACCTATTTCCCTACAAATTTTGCACTTTTAGATACAAACTACTAACGGATACAGCAAAACACTGACGACTGATTATACCTACGGTGACGGAAAGACCGAAGACGCATCCAATTTTGGTCTTTTCAAGCAGAACTGGGGAATGCTTCGAGTGTGCGCAACCCGATACGGACTGGCTGGCCAGCCGGAGAGCTCGTGGAATAACGGGGCTCTACTCAAGTAATATTTCCATTAATTTGTATCAACAAAATAAATCCACTAACAGGCCTAGCCAAAACGTCTACGCGGATGTTGCCTCTCGCTGGGACTGCCAGAATTATTACGGAATAGACCGATGGTTCGCGGGGCACCGTTTTGGTGCAAGTGGGCTAGCAGATCCTAACACAGCCGATATCAACAGTATGGCTATTCCCATTCCGGTGATTAATATTCTCATGCAGGAAGTCTAACACATCTTATATAGATTATAAGAATGCTGTGTACTGGATCCAGCAGCAGATTGACAGTAACTCGGCTTACAAATCCGACGATACCAGGTTTTGGGTGGATATTACTCCTATCTAAACAGTGAGGGTTTAGGAATACCGTTAAAACGGCAGCTAGTCATGATCGGTCTGTTTAATAGGGAACCTTTAGAGGCTCTGAGCTTGTGGAGATTGAAGTTGCATTATAGCCCCCGGGGAGCTTGTCATACAGAGGGGAATATTGAAACGAGGTGAATTCGGGAAGACATTTAGGACGAATGAATTTATTGAAACTTCGCTTCTTTTTGATGGTCAATTTTCTTTTCACAGTAAAGGGTCATCGGCTAGTACACGACAGCCGAACATAGAAAACCAATGCATTGTTCATGGACACATCAATGGTATTCCAGTATGTTTTGGACCACTCTTACGTTTTAATTATATGTCGAATACCAAGTCCGAATACATGGTAGAAACCAGGTAATATACCGGAAACATCATGTGACATTAGGTACCAGACATACCATACAAAAGTGCATATTACAGTTAGTCATCATGGTCCACACAGATTGTTGAAATAGTTAACGGGTTTTGTCATTTTAGTTAGTTGGAGTTTTTCAACATTGGTCATTTATACCATACATTGTTCGTACACCAGCTTTCTGTCATTATATGCCGAATGCCGCAGTGGAATAAATTTCCTTTTGTATTTCTTATAACGAGTGAAAATATGCTCGAAGCTAGGATCAGAGGTAGTTCCCCTACAGTTCTTCGATCACCTAGCCGCTATCGCAGCAGTCTAAGACAAACTCAATATTTTTGGTCATTATCCTTTCGTGATGAGATTAGGAAACTTAGATTGACCTATTCAGTGATCAGCAAGACAAACTTCTAGTCCTAGAGGCGCTAGCATATTTATTGGTGAAGTGCCGTCGTAATTTTAATATCGCCAGTCCACCTAAGCATATGTTCGAATAGAGAGCCGAGAAAAAAATACAGTAGATGCATGCTAAGTGCCTCTCCTCGCTTTGAGATGAATCTGATAATGATATTGAATAATCAAAAGGGCCGTTCCCACAAATTAGTTCCCAGATCTAGTCGAATCATCGGAATACCTAGAACATAGCGCTGAATACTAAATTTTATGTTGAAGTCTCTATTCGATCCGCTACCACCTTTTGCATATTGAGGGTATGGTGCTCGACCTGACCATGCCATTCTTCGGCCGTACCCAGTTGTATACTAGTCTATCCTACATCTGAACTGCAGCGGACATCTGCATCATGAGGGATTCAGATAACTGGTCACTCGACACTGAACTTGGTATATCATGATCCGTTGTCGCCTGTCTAAGCTTCATAACGATGGATCTCTCTCCACGTGGCCTCGGTCGGGTTGAGTCACCCGTTATTGTTGTGTAGATTTGGTATTACGCACCAATCTCTCTAAGCTCCCCGCTGTCGAATCAAACTCTGTTATATCCTACTTGGCATGCCACCGGAGCAGTGGCAGACAGCCCCTTCTAATGCAACTCATAAATGAATGATGGAGAAATCAAGAAATAATTCAACATGCTGCTATTGTCGCCATCATATTTCCCAGCACTTATAAACACAAGAAACAAAGCGGCCGTATAAATAATTCAAATACCGAGATAAGTACGCATCATACTTAAGGCCAGGATCCAGCCGCGCTCCAGACTTGTTCATTCAACCAATTTCCATAAAGCGGTACAGTCTCCCCATTTCACTTGGCCTTCCATCTTTTGCAGCCAGCCGGAATGACCCGATTAAAACCTACTCGAACCAGGCGATCAAGGCCGCGTATGGGATTCCACCTAACTGTATGTGATGATGGTGGCTTTAGACAGTGAATGACTTCAGCCTCACATTCAATGGTGGCTTTTTCCACACGACATAAATCCTGAGATTCTTCATCTGCCCAGCGGGGTCCCATTGCCATGCTCCATCCGTGCTCTTGATGTCGAAGTTCCAAATTAAATAGCACATAACTAGCCTCATCTCCATGTAGGCTAACTGTTTCCCGAGACACCCTTGAGGCCCAAGCGAGAAAGGCTGCATGGCATTTCGCTTATCGCCTGTAAAGTATTGTTCTTTGTCTGCTAACCATCGCTCGGGGACAAAGTCATCACAGTCCCGGAAGTTGCCTTCATTATGTGACGCAGCCCACGGGTCAACTGACACTGACGTGCCTCCTGGGATCCAATGTCCATCGATCACGGCTCCCTCTTTAGGTACATGTCGTAGAAGGCCCTCGCCAACTGGAGGTTTCAATCGAAGAGCCTCTTCTATGCAAGCGCTCAAATAAGGGAGTTTAATGGCTTGGTCGTGATTGATCCACTCAGACTTACTGAAGGATGAACGGATCTCGTGGCGCAGCTTTTCGTATTTTTCAGGGTTGTAAAGTAACTGTGCGACTAGGCCAGAAAGAAGATTGGATAGGGTCTCGCTTCCAGCTGCAATAAACGTGGCCCCGTTCACGATGATCTCAGCATCATTTAACTTAAATTGGTTTCGATGCTTGAGAGTATAGCCAATGAAGTCTGCTCGTTTAGGATCCTCATTTTCCAGACGTCGCAGTACCTTGTCGCGACTGTAAGCCAAATGGTCATATCGTAACTGTCTCCATGAATAGGGGATTAATGCCATCAAGAACCGTTGCCCCCATGAGTTAGCTTCAGCTAAGCGACGGGTAGCCTGCTCTAAGGCGGCCATTCTGAATGTTGCATAGTTCAACTTGTACCATGATTCGTCATTTTCTTTTCCTAAGCAGCCGAACGGCTCTCCGAAGGTAAGATCGCCAACAATTTCGAACGTCGTCATGCTGAGCCAACGGGAGAGATTCACTTCTTCGCCTTCTCGCTGTCGTAGATGGTTGATGAGCTTAACTAAATGGCCTTTGATCTGCTCCTCATTCTCTCGCAATGCTCTGTCGGAGAATCCATAGGACCACGCCCGGCGTTGCCGGCCATGCTCGGCACCGTTCAGCAAGGTCATGGGATACATGCCGTTAAGCGGATCCACTGATCCAATATGAATGGGGTCCCGTGGTAGCCTGGAATGGCCCGCTGGCTTGAAGCCGTAGATATCCTCCCATGCTTGGGCACTGTTAAAGCTAAGCTCGTTCGGGGAGATGCGTATAACAGGCCCATATATTTCGTGTAAGAGTCTGTTTTGGAATGGGAGGCGGCCTTTCACCATGGAGTAGGCACAAGGAATGGCACTGGCTGCATGGAGCTTCCAGCCAGGAAACTTTGCCAACGGGTGCAGATATACACGATAGAGGACTAACGCGACGGAATATAAAGCAAGTGGAATGAAGAGAGAGAGGAGAGTGCCAAAGGATAATATAGACATCTCTGATATATATTGAGTGTATTGTATTAAACTGCCCAGGAAGGCTGTGGAGGCTGGAATTAGAAGAGGAACCAAAATAGAAACTATGGCCATAGTTACCTACTTATAGAAGTTTCGTGGTGTGTAATGTGTGTAGTGCTATTAGGGAAAACAGGACACCCGGGGCCGTTTGGAACCCTTTAGTAGAACCTTAATATCCCTATCACACCACAGAGGCACTCTTGTGCGACGGGGCCAGGGATCGAAAACTAATTATTACTAATATTGGTGCTTGTGTCAGACTGGGATATGGCTCCCCCTAGGCCCTAAACGGGAACTAAGGTTTGTTATGGTAATTCAGGTATTCATATATCCAGACACATTCAGGGATCAATATTACTAATATTAGTTTCCGACCCCTGGCCGGGATACACTTTCGCACTCTTTTCTACAAGGAGGTAGTGGTGATCAGACTCACTTTCTGTAATAGGCACCACACATGATAACAGTATATGGATTGGTTGGAGCCACCTAAATAGTCTTGCAACTTATACCTTCGTGCCGTGTCTATGACCTCAGGTGTTCTTTTGCTCAACATGATTTCTATCCTCAAGGAATTAGCGGGATGTAGGGTTACGCAACATGGCGTTGCGCCGTGGCCGTGAGCGCCAGCAATATCATTTGACTTGGGGTCCACTTATGCAACTACAACTAGCCTGAAGACGTCTAATTCTATATAAACGGTGACCCAATCATTGACGGCGTTGCATAAAGGCTCTTAGGCCTACCGTCCATATTTCACAGGTGAATGTGCCAGATGATCCGCGCTGAAGCTGAAGGCCTCCAACAAGGCTGTCCTAGCGTGCCTCCGTCCCTGTATGTAGGTAGAATTCACCCCCGGGGTCCTGACACCCCAGAACACGAGTCCTCGGCTATTATATGGAGACGAACTTTATCTAGATAAACTTTTGCTAGCAGTAATAGCCAATAGGACTAAAGTTTTTGGTCGTCGCCCGTAGGTAATTGAAGCGACTGGATACAGTCCGAATTGAAATACATTCCTCCAATACAACGTGATATAGATTGTATGTAGAAATTGGTGACAATAGCTTCAGTAGGAGTAACGGTTCTTACATGTAAGAACTACAATGGCGAATCATAGGGTTCGTGTTGGCCGATTCTATATTGATTACTAATAATTAACTGAGATTCTCAATAAAAATGTCTCCCAACGTGAGTGTGGCTGAGGAAAAGAAAGCTAAAAATTCAAAATATCCTACGGCGTGGTAAAAGTTAAGATTACATAATATATAGTCCTTCTAACCTTGGAAGGTTCTGTGGGAAAAATACAGCCTATTTTACCACTAGACCATAACAAAAACCTCGGTTCCTGTTTAGGGCCTAGGGGGGGCCATATCCCAGTCTGACAGGTTCCAATGTTTAGTTAGTACTGTGGATGAGGTGTTGGCCCTTTGGGACCCTCCCTCACACCCCATAACGGGAGCGGTGGTCTTTCTTGTGGAATCGAATCCACTATTTGTAACCTTTCCTATAAGATCACTTACTTGCTCATGAAGCCTATTCTTTGAATGACTTATCTTGGATTTTGAAAGGTGTTCTTTCACAATGCTCTCTCAGCCCCATCGCTCCATTTAGGAGTCATCGTGAATACATTTTTTCGCCGGGCTGCCTGCAACCAGTGCCATAACCAAAAGCCACGTTGCACGAAACTGGAGAACACCAATGTGTGTGCGAGATGCCAGAGATTGAATCGACAGTGTATCTGGAGTCTGCCATCGCGTAATGATTGTCCGGCAAGACTGGCTGAGAGGAGGCCTGCCAAGCGTGGCAGCCACATGGGAAATGAAAACGCGAGGGAGAGGAGAAGAGCCATAAAAGACCTGCGAGCGCCTTGGGAGGGACACCCCAGGAGGACGACCGCTTGGAATTGTTGCAAGAACATGTTCATTCCCGACAGGTTAGCACTGGCCGTAACGATCAGACCCTCCCCCAGCTTACGCCGGTGGTCGAGGTGTCGGAAGCCCGACCCGCCGTGCCCCCGGCTATAGGCGATTGGAACATAGGTGATATTCTGGACCTCCCAATCCCGCGGTTTAACCAACACGATGTTCCTCTTTTTAATTTTGAGCAATCTCGCCATGCTGAGCTATGCGCCCGCCCCCCAAAATCCTCGATGTCTGATCCCCGTCGCTCCTTCACAGACCAAACACACTGCCGTCATACACCGAGGGCGTTTTCCTCGGACAGCGACACTTCTAGTCAGTCTTGATCGCGTTTGTCTACTCCAGGAGATACATATATGGCGTATGGTATCCCGGCGCGCCACACTGAATTTTCTTTGAGATCAACGCGAGAATAATCAGGCCAGCTGGCTAACAACATTGGGCTGCAGATATTAATGGCAATTTAGGTAATTACATACCTTCTTGGGGAAGCGGAGTGGCCTTTGGGGGTCGACGAGTGGGGACGCGAAGTTACCCGAGAACGTTCTCGATCTAGCGATAGGAAATCCTATCATTTCTCTCCTACACATAGGCCCAGCCGGCAAAGGGAATCTGTCGGTGGGGAAGAGGGCCAGACCAGAGCAACTGGTGGCTTGCTAAGTTCTGCTTTGATCGAGCTTGTGGTTCATGCGGAGGATTCAGGGAACCGTTTAGGAAAGATCGAGCTCCTGTGAAGAAATTTCAGAAGGCTAGGAAGCTAGAAAAAAGTAGGATACATAGCTAAATGAAGATATTTGAGAAGGGGAATAAATGGAAATAAATGGAAAACAGGTTGCATGCAGGTGGTGTCTTGAAAGATGAAGTAAAAGCCACCGATGCCGAACCACAGGATGGCACTCAGGCCGAACTTGGGAAAAATAGGAGAGCGCCGAAAACTCCAACTGCCCGTTTCTGCAAAGCTACCCACGCAGAAGCTGGGGCTTCTTTAGTAGTCTAGGAAGAAAGGTATGCTCCTATATCAAACGGCTGGAAGAGCATGTGGCCGAGGAGAGCAATGGAGGTTTCACAGGCCTAGGGAAGACTATGGCTAGGTAGGCTGCTTGTAAACAAACCAAGTGTTCCTGAAATTTCGCGTAATGGCGCTATTAACTCGTCAGAAGAACATAGCGCTTCATCAAAATCGCAAAGCACGATAACGGCCCTTCAACCTCACGGGTCACCCTCCCACAGCCCGGGAAGATAGACAAGACAGGCAGTATGTACTTAGCAGGAGAAAGCAAAAACAAAAATACATACAACAGTGAGGATTCGCTGGTGGTCACCCACCCAACTACTAACTCACCGGCGTGTGGCTTAAGTACGGCTGAGCGGACGGGAAGCCCTGTTTTCCACACCCTATGGTCGTATGTACGAGGTTATGTGTAGGATAGAATTATAGAATACGATAGTTAGGTGAGTTGTCGTTGAGAATGGCGCTATAGACCTTTGATTCTGAAGAATGTGTATGCACTCTGTTAGGATCTACGATCTAATAGATGAGATCATGAAAGTACAATGTGTGATATTGTGGTGTGTAGTTGTATGTATGATGATGTTGTAGGAGGAAAGAGAGAGAGCTAGTCTACTACTACTATGGAGCATGTGATACTGAGAGTTCAAACACACTCATAAGAAGAATAGCAGACAGGGAGAAAGACCTGTGGGTCCTGAATCCAACAGGCCCCTCGGACATCGGAACACCATATCACTCATTCTCCAATCGGACAGTCATCGATGTTGTCTTTCCAGGCCATAGAGGCATAGGTGGGAAGGAAGGTATTCGTCGTGAAGTCCTCCGGAAGGTAAAGACGAGTATCATCCGTCGTATAATTCTTAGGCGGGTTCCCGGAATTTAACGCGGTAACGATCCTTGAACCAAGGAAATCAGAGAAAATCAAATCCACCTTGTCTGGTTCACCATCCTGTGGGAACGCAGCGGTAGCTTGAACATGGTCTGGTTGAGCGTATTCCGGGATTTCAGAGTGCGGAGTGTCATCGCCATCATTGCCGAGGTCATCACATGTTGTATATCCCGGGGTTAGTGTATCTGCGTCAAGTACACGACGGAAGAGAGATTTTGGCTTGAGAAGCTCGGTACCATTGTGAGGCGAGGGATTGTTGCACTCATCGTAACCCAACATCTTACTTGAAATGGTATCCACAGTCATGTATCGTTTGGTGGTGGTTTTCGGTTTGTTTATATTGTCTAGGACTTTCGAAGCCAGAGAATAAGGGACATCGGCGAGGAATCTGAAGGTAGAAGTGTACGGGCAGACGATATAGGCGTCATCCACAGTAAATGGACCTTGAACCACGTCGTACCGGATGGCTCCTTTGTTGACAATAATCACCCTTGATTTCGCGGATCGATCTGGGTCAACCACAGTCGCAGCAGCAGCAGTCTGCACCAGAGTGTAGATGTTTCCCTCGTCACCGAATGGCTTGCATGATATGCAGTATGTCTGTGGTGCGCACCCGTACACAAATGTCAAATTGAGACTATTGCGGCTGTCCGTAATTCCTTTGGTCACATTGAGTCCCTCGGGGGTGTTCAATATGTTCTGGGATCCAGTTGCATGGTAGGCAAAAGTAAGGCGATTCCAATCCAGATACCGACGGGTTAACTGCATATCAAAGTCTTTCGTTTTGGAGCAAGATTCATCGGCCGATTCCACCATCGTGCTTTTATTGACCAAGACATTTTTGACTTCAGGGCTTGCAACTCTTTTCTGAACGGGCTGGGATTTGATGCCATCCAAAGAAACCCAACCCACAGTATCGCAGTATTTGCCGGATTCTATCGCCGAGGACATATTGTCGTAGATGTGAAAGTCACGGCGGTGAGTGTGACCCCCGAATCCCTGCACAGGAATCTCAGGTCGCGTTGTCCGGAGAGTGTCCATTAGAAGGGGGAAGCTGCTTTCACTCTTAGGGATTCCAGGCTTGACGGGGTTGTGACCAATAAGCACAAACAGATCAATATCCTGGCGATTGATCGCATCCTTAAACCAGTCTTCCTCTATCATTTCAGCAGCTGGCTGGATTCTTGTCATGTCTTTGTTATTATTGGTCCCATCAAGGATCACCCCAAATGCCATAATTCGGAGACCCTGCTTTGTGGTGAAATATCGAGATCTGCGGCCCATAGAAACCCATTCCTTTTCGTCTGGTTCGCCATTCTGACAGTTATTGCAGATATCAACATTGCTTGTCAGGTACTTGTCACCATACACCTTGGAGAACTTGGTGAATGTGTTGTACGCAACATCGGCTGCAATTAGCTCATGGTTTCCGGGTGTGAGAAGATCATAGTCGATGTTTTCGAAGATAGGATTCGTGACCTCGCCGTTGGGCGTTGTTACATCACTGAGGCCATTTCCATCATGCAAATCGCCTGCAGGTAAATATCTCATTGGCATAAATTCAGAAATGTTACACCCTCGACGTACCAGTGTCAATGAGCAGGAGATCAACGTTTTTCTCTACCGCTTTGTCCTGCATGTGCTTCGCAAAGGACACAAAGTCACCCCAGTCAGCACCGTAATTGCGTTCCTTGACGTGCCCTTCCAGCCATCCATGGGTGTCGCTTGTGTGAATGAAGTTAATTTCTCCCCAGTTCAAAGGTCCCTTTGGCTGCGTTGTCGCATCTAGAGACTCGGGCTGCATGCGACGCGTGAACCTAGGGTAGATCGGCGGCTCCCCTTCTCCCTCGCAAGAAGGACATGCAGAAACAGCAGATATGGCAAATGCCAGTTTGAGAAAATGAGACAACACTGCCATGATTTCTCAAGTAAACTAAATACCAAAACACGTAGTTGAAGAGGTTGGTCGCCCAGGGTCCGATAAATGGCGGTTTAAATAAATAGCAGATATTAGTTGGTACGAATGTATATTATTTTTGTGCTACTTGAGGTTTCACAGATCAGCCTCTTAGTTCCTATATTATAGGCAAGGAGATCCAATAATCGTGTTCGGCATTCTCGGTGTACGACTTTAAAATATTCATATGCGGTAATAATTTATACATCGCATCATACTATCGCGTTGCCCCATTAAAATATTCATATGCGGTAATAATTTATACATCGCATCATACTATCACGTTGCCCCATCATGTACAACGTCAGATTTATCCACCCCCCAAGTAAGATAATCGCATATGTGTTCTTCATCTGGCGGAGAACATAAAGTCCAAGGAAGGGTGGGCGGAAGTTTTTAGGATATAATTATCTAGTTGAGAAGGATGTTATGGACCCTTGATTAGAATGGAAATCTAGCATTCTTCTACAGTGTTGCGTTGTATTGCTTGCATACGAGAATGCTAGGCCCAATCTAACTACTATTAAATGTTGGTTGTAGCCAGCCACTACATATCCCATCCAGAAAGCGTGTGTGTTACAAATATAAAGGCGAAAAAAAAGAGAAAAAAAAAACACAAAAACATACAACAGCATAAGTATGACCGTAATAATCTAGCACGCACGGTTCGGGCATGGGCGGCTCGCCGCTTTATTCATGGCACTCAAGGGCGGGGATTCAGCCCGTACAGCAAAAGGTAAATTTCCCATTTCTGACCAAAAATGCTATAAGTAACCTTCTTTCTCCCTCTACTTTCACCTCTTAGGCCTTGCTTTATCACGAGCAAGATGCGTACAAAGCGTGACCCAATATTGAAGCATATGGCCGATATTGTGGATTTCGGGGAGCATAGTAACAATGAAATCCAACGGATAGTGCTACCACGAACAGAATCTAGTAAAGAGATGTTACTCATTTTTGATAAGTGTCTTTCTTAGCCCTAGGAGCAGAGAAGCAAATCGCTAAATTATACCTCTATTCCTAGATTTTCGAATTATATCCACATTCTATTATTCCGCAGGACATCTAAACATAGAGGGCTTTTCTTAGGCTTCCTCAGAACCCAACCCGGACCTAGTACTAGGGCCCTAGTAAAACTTAACTTTGACCCAATTGGACCTAACTTTTATACAACTTCAATCATAAAGCTACTCTATCATCAAGATAAATTACTGTTTTCTTATATCGGTTTTGGTCTATACCTTAAACCACTATACTTTCTAAATATTCCGCGTCCCTAGACAATGCACACCCGGTTATTTCTTTACTCCAAGTGAGCCATAGTTTGCTCCGATCCAAGGAGGCGTGCCAGACGTATTTTACAGATTAAAGAAGATTATCGTGATCTTCTCGAAATTTATTGATGTTTTGAACTACGCAACTTGCTTTTACTAGTCGTTGATCTTGGACACCACCACACAGGCGAAAAATGGGAGTAGGGTGGTTTGAATGACCTTCCAACTGAGATTAAAGCCCAATATCCGCTACTCACTCTCACAACACCGAAAATCAAGAAATACCTGGATCATTGCCTTACCTTCGATGGTTTCGGAGACCGAGGGAGTCAAAAACTTCCAAATATGAAGATTGGTCTAACACATCTAAGATACATAGTATGGGGTCCGAATCATGCATGCCCCACGCTTGATCGCCCGGAAACAAGGTCCACTTAGTTAGTGTGCTAAACCAGGAGATACATAGATTGATATACATATGTAGATATTTGCCTTCAGCACTTCTATCCTTTATCACTACGTAAATATACTATATAGCTGTCTTACCAGCCCACCCTTACCCAAGGTGGGTCTGTCCCGCTAAACAGAAGATTTTTAATAAACCCAAGCATTTAAATCATCTCTACCTATAAACACCTGTAGTTTCTATATACCAATTGGCACTTATACTATTCCTTGCCGCTAATCTAGCCTCATGCTCACAGTCTGCCTGCCGACAACACCGAAATTCACCACCCAAAAGGCAACCAGTGACGACCCTGTAGGGTGCCGGCTAGACTCACATCCACCAAACGAGCCCCGGCAGTTCTTCAATAGGGAATTTTTGAACTAGAATTAGAGTATGAAGAGGAAGTCGTCCAAGGAATTCTACTATATAATAATGAAATACGGTGCTATTAAAATATTTCATATTCTAGAGCAAACAGAAAATCTAAGGAGGAATAACGGCTAACTTTAAATCCTTGCAGCTTTGGCGGGAACTCGCAAAATTGACTGCTGTGTCATAGAAGCCACTAAATTCCCTCCCTCATCCCACAATTTACTCTCACTATATGTGCGGCCATTTCCAGCATGGTGGTTGATTGCCTCCCTCAAGTGCCACTCATCCATTTTAGGTCGCGGCGTAAAGACCCGCAGAGCAAAATCAAAGCTCGAACACACATCGACATCATCGAAGAACATGTGGTTGTGTGCCAAAGGCAAAAATGACAAAACACCATCCATAACGAACCCCAAGCTGGCTATTTGCTCCCCTTCTGTCTGCAGAGGGTGTTTGACTCGAAACCAGTCTGCTGACGACTTTTCTGTTGGAGACAATTCCTCCTGGCTGGTTTTGATCGTCTTGGCCACCCCCATCAAATTTTGAGTGGTGACCCCTTCCGGACAGGGGCGACCTTCGTAGAGGTTCCGGAATAGCCCAAATAGAGTGTTGAAGGCTTTGGAATGCAGCTCTGGTATTTTCTCGGCTTTGACCGAGTCCTCTAAAATGCGGTCCCAGGGCACACAATCTCGCCAGTGACTGTAACTCCGAGTGGGTTTACTCGAGAATGTGAGAATGGATGGCTCATCCCTGTGAAAGTCGGCTAGGAGCTCCATGCATAGGTACGGTTGGCCAGTCGAGGGGTCATTTTGTTCAACGGCAACGCGGTAGGTCACAAAGCTCTTCGATTGGCGGAGTTTGACAGGTATGCATATCAAATTGGTTTCAGTGCTTACTGGTCGGAGGTAATTCCCAAGCGCCGAGTGCAAGTGGAATCCATCCGGGGTAGTCTTATACGCAGCGTGTATCGCGAGAGCGATACCGTACCCTCCGTATGCGATAGGTGCTGAATTCCCCATCTTTTGGGGAAGGTGCGTGGAAACATAATGATCATGCAACCTCTGCAGCGATATATGCTCAGCTAAAGTGGTCGCCATGGTTGTGACCGATGATTGGATTGACCGAGGTGTTTCAAGATAGTGTTGACGCGTGGAGAATATATAGTAGGTGGTAAACAGACGATGATCTAAAATGAAGTATTTGTTGTATAGATAAGAATGTAAACTTATCTGCCAATTCCCACGGATATAGTTATCTCGGCTTAATGAGCCGTCTGCGGTGTATTTACAATCAAGAAGGAAGGAAAGATGAGATCTTATTTACACGTGAGATGTCAGATCATTGGATTCTGTTTAAAGATTATCGATCCACTTTCCTTTCAGCCGGATTCCGATACGAGATGTCCGAAAACGGATACTCAAGAGAAAACCGGTATTTTATTCGAATATTACGTTAGGGATATTGATATGTCACTAGAAATATTTCTCAAAATTTTCATTGATACTATTTCAAACAAAAAAGCAAGAACGTATTAAGCTTTCTCCCTATCTCTTAGTTCCTCCTGCCACGTATTCTCTCACGAATACACCCAAGTCCTCTTACGGTAGCCATAGGGCCTCCTATAGCTCTTTCATCTTAGAATAATCTGCAAATCCTCCCCTCCCAAGTATAAATCCAGCAATTATAGACGAGGTACCAAGTGGTTGTTTTCCTTTCACTATGGTAGCCCGATTTTTAATAATGTCTTTAGGAAGCGCGAATTTCTTATTCGTAAGGGCAGACAACTTTATTTTACGTGACAGTGAAAGTATTGATATAAATATATTGATTTTTGGTTAGGTCTGGGCTTTCCAAAGATCGTGCGATTGCTCTTCCAACCTTGACCAAGGCTTATGGCTTCATAGGAAATATCGCCTCAATCAAATACCGTAACAGTACCCGCAGGCACATTCAAGCGTCCAAATCCGGGGACATTCCAGCTCCAGTCGAACATAGATCCCGTGATCACTGCTGTCCGAGAGACCTTGTCTTGCGGAACCTTAAGGTAGTCGACGGTTTGGAGCTTATCCACGAGGAATGGAACATACTCAGACGCCGAACTATCCGAAGTGTCAATACCAAACTTGGATGGGAAGAAGACTTTCACGGCGGCGGATATGGCGGATAGACCTCTTGGGGGGGGGGTGCTAGAAATCGTGCTTATGACCGCATCTTGATCTTTGAATGCATCGCGTAGTGATTCCTTAGAGTAGTCAATCTTGATGTGTCTCACATCTGGAGGTTAAATATCTTTAGATGATTCTCGAGTGAGTGCAATGACCTCGAATTTCTCGTCCAACAACGCCCTGACGGCTGATCTGCCTATATTGTGTAGAGTTTTAGCAGCTAGTATGGGTCACCAGGTACACGCGATGGGGTTTTAACAACACACTGACATCCTTCCGCCGCCATTGTATCTTACTCAGTTGACAGGCTGTACACCTGTAGACTGTATATCTTTGCATTGTCGTGAGCGTACCTGCCTTATCCGATAAACCGAGTGAACCGCAGGATGATGACTAGGTCCCCGAGAGAAAAAGCGGCGATCTGGATAAAAGAGTGGTGTTTGAGTTGCTGGAATTCCCAGAGCTGGTGAAACCATCCAATATAGAGACTCTTCGTATAAAACCTTCGAGCAAGGGAACCCAACAAGACCGACTAGAAGTGACGCCTATTTCCGGGCCTCCCATCCCCTATCGAAGAGGCGCTCTGTCCATGGCCTTTGGAACTATTATGGACGCGGGTAATATCAGTCAGGATTATGGATTTGGAGCGCATATATGCCTCGAAAGTGTTATCATCCCTTCCGATCGGTTGGAGGTGCCCTTCGCTTTCCGGATCAGCTAAACCGTGCCTGGACCTTTCTATCATTTATTAGATACAATATATCAATGGTGATAACATTTCGATTTCTTATGTGATCTGATATGCTCCCTGTGGCTTTGTCTTTCGTTACTTTGGCACTAGTAGAAGTCGCCAGCCGCGAGGGTAGCCTGATAACTGAAACCTCAAGTAGAAAGACGAATGTGCCAACCGCGGTGGTGGCGTGGCCACAAACACTTTGTCCTCTGATTGACGATCTCTGGGTTGGTTGAAAGAGAAAATCCTTATTCGAGACAAGAGGCGACAAATTGTAGGTCGACGGGTTGGTGTGATTGCAATGGTGGAAACGGGAGGAGAAATCACTCCGGGCATTTAGGATTCTGGTGGAAGATGGGGCCATCCGTGTTCCCTTCGAGAGTGTGTAACTCAAATAAGCAGAAGAATTCTACTGGCGACGGGCACGTATGTGATCAATCTGAAAACACCCTGATGGAGCGCACGGATGGGGCTATTGGGGAGATGCGGGGGATCCTCGCAGGTCCCCACCTAGCCGGGGAGTCTCCGCCGTCAACGCGTCGCTGGGTATCTCGGCATGTCGGGAACTCGGGGGAATATCGTCCAGTGGTCCATCAAAGTATGAGTTCGACGTAAAAATATCGAAGCGGTGGACTGCGCGGGTACTTATATGTAGTCGCTCCGTGGTCTGGTTTCGTTCTCTCTACGTAGAGGTTACAGACATAGACTTCTTTATTGCTGTTGCTTCTTTTTCCAACTTTTCATTATGCCACAGACATTCGATATAGAGCATGTCTTAGCAAACATCAGCGAGCAGGACAAGATCGCTCTTTTATCAGGTAACACAGTGGCGGTGATCTTTACGAACGTCATCTGCTAACAAAAGCAGGAATTGATTTCTGGCACACGTATCCTATCCCTGAATTCAATGTCCCCTCGATCCGCGCCACCGACGGTCCCAATGGTATCCGGGGTACGAAATTCTTTGCCGGCATCCCCGCTGCATGTTTGCCCTGCGGTACAGCTCTGGGCGCCACCTGGGACCGAGATCTGATATACCAAGCGGGGGAGCTGTTGGGTGATGAGTGCATTGCGAAAGGGGCGCATTGCTGGCTGGGTCCGACAATAAATATGCAGCGCGCTCCCCTCGGTGGCCGCGGGTTTGAATCGTTTGCGGAAGATCCGCATCTCTCGGGTATTCTGGCCAAATCCATCATCCTCGGATGCGAAAGAAAGGGGGTCATTTCTACGGTGAAGCATTTCGTCGGAAACGACCAGGAACATGAACGCCGGGCAGTGGATGTCCTCGTCACTCAGCGAGCCTTGCGCGAGATCTACATACGACCGTTCCAGATTGTGGCGAGAGATGCGAAGCCTGGCGCGCTCATGACCTCGTATAATAAGATCAACGGGAAGCATGTGGTGGAAGATGAGTGCATGCTTAATCTGATACGCGACGAGTGGAAGTGGAATCCGCTGGTTATGAGCGACTGGTACGGGACTTACACAACTATCGACTCCATGAATGCGGGCCTTGACCTGGAAATGCCGGGGGTGTCCAGATACCGGGGAAAGTTTATCGAATCTGCCGTGCAGGCTCGACTGATCAAGCAATCTACCATTGATGCACGAGCGAGAAAGGTGTTGGAATTTGTGAAGCAAGCCAGTCAGGTCCAAGTATCAGAAGTGGAGCGAGGACGGGATCTCCCAGAGGATAGAGCATTGAATCGCAAACTCTGTGCGAACAGCATCGTCCTCCTCAAGAACGAAGGCATCCTACCCCTTCCAGGGGATATCAAAAAGATCGCCCTGGTCGGGTCTCACATGAAGACTCCCGCAATATCGGGTGGTGGTAGTGCGTCACTTGAGCCATATTACTCTGTCTCGTTATATGATGCCTGCAGGGAAGCACTTCCCAACGCGGAGGTGCTCTATAAAGTGGGTGCATACGCCCATAAGATGCTCCCCGTGATAGACCGTCTCCTGAGCAATGCTATCATTCAGTTCTACAACGAGCCGATGGGCAAGGAACGGCGTTTAATCAGTACTGAGCCTGTATCGACGACGGCTTTCCAGTTCATGGACTACTATACTCCTGGCCTCAACCGGGGGCTCTTCTGGGCCAAACTGACTGGCGACTTCACGCCCGATGCCTCTGGGCTTTGGGACTTTGGCCTGAGTGTCTTTGGTACCGCAAATCTCTATATTGACGACGAACTCGTGATCGATAACACCACGAGCCAGACGCGCGGGACAGCATTCTTCGGCAAAGGAACCGTTGAGGAGCTGGGATCGAAGGAATTAGTTGCTGGGATTACATACAAAATTCGGATTGAGTTCGGCTCTGCCAATACTACCACAATGAAAACGGTGGGAATGGTGAATTTCGGTGGCGGCGCCGCAAATCTGGGAGCCTGTCTACGGATGAACCGGGATGAAATGATCGAGAATGCGGTGAATGCTGCCACAGAGGCCGATTACACCATTCTTTGCACCGGGCTCAACAAGGACTGGGAATCTGAAGGGTTTGATCGCACGCATATGGATCTGCCACCGGGAGTTGACCAGTTGATTTCGAAGGTGTTGGAGGCCGCCGCGGACAAGACCGTCATCGTCAATCAGTCCGGTACACCAGTTACCATGCCGTGGGCCGATCAGGCCCGGTGCATTGTGCAGGCCTGGTACGGGGGTAACGAGACGGGTCATGGAATTGCCGATGTCCTCTTTGGAGACGTCAATCCATGCGCAAAGCTGCCTTTGTCCTGGCCGGTGGATGTGAAACACAACCCAGCCTACCTAAACTATAGCAGCGTGGGTGGCCGAGTGCTGTACGGCGAGGACATCTATGGGGGATATCGATTTTACGAGAAGACCGGGCGAGAGGTGCTCTTTCCATTTGGGTGAGTTCTCTTAGTCTCATCTAACTGTATCTTATCTGACCGAATTCTAGTCACGGCCTGTCATACACGACCTTCAATGTCTCGCCGAACGTTACCATTGCCCCAGAGATCTTCAACATGGACGTTCCTACGGTCGCTACCGTACAAATCAAAAACACGGGCAAACTGGCGGGTGCCCAGATTCTCCAACTGTACATCTCTGCTCCCGAATCCCCAACCGCGCGCCCAAGTAAGGAACTACACGGTTTCGAAAAAGTATTCCTGCAGCCTGGGGAAGAAAAAATGGTTAACATCCAGCTGGACCGATATGCGACCAGCTTCTGGGACGAAATCGAGGACATGTGGAAGAGTGAGCAGGGGACGTACGAAGTCTTGATTGGGACTTCTAGCCAGGAAGTGGTAGCCCAGGGGAAATTCCAAGTGGATCGCACCTCGTATTGGCGGGGACTCTGAGACTTCATCCGGCCTTCTTTGGGTAGTTTGGGTGAATTTCCCGGCTAAATGAGGCCGTCTTGGCTTGATTGGAGGGATGATTCAGCCATCGTTCGCTTCGCTCATCACCAATCACCGACATCATTTTTCTCTTGGCTTTTTAACGTATGTTTCTCTGAGTACGCCCATATCCGACTGCAGGAAGACCCACCAGGAAGAATGGACCCTTCATCGACAGCGCGACCTCGCAAGAATACTCGGGTGCTCACCGCGTGCAATGCCTGTCGTCTCACCAAGACTCGATGCGATTCAGCACGGCCAATTTGTGCTAAATGTGTCCAGCGGGGTGTAGCTTGCGAGTATCCGGAGACGGATGCCATCTCAATGTTGGTAACCATAGAGCTTTTTCCATTAGCTGAGGCATCTAATGACGACCAATTCTATCTAAAGTCTGGATACATGGGGCGCCAAAATTCTAGACGCAGTAGAACGTCAAGAGCGGCTTCTGTCAGAGAGCCTCTCTTTGAACCGGGGACCTCCTCTTTTTTCGCAACAGGCGTCGCCATCCCCAGTGGACGAGGTAGATCCCGAGTCAATCTCGCGTAATGATGCGCTTAAAACGCCTATTACCGGGTCGGACATGCTTCTCAGCTGGCCTATCTTTCCGAAAGAGAAGTCTGTGTCGACTTTTCCAATGGCGGCGTATTCCGAGAAGCCAGATCGTTTTCAGACGGGTATGGTCTTCTCGACACAGCATATCCCAGAATTAAATACTAATAAACAATTACAGCTCTACCAAGCCTGGACCCCCAAAGGCTTCTCGAACTGCGCGAGATTTTCATGACCAAGATCTGGACCAAGAACCCGATCGTTGATCCTGACCAGCTGGACTTCTATATCGCTCGAGTGCTGGAAAATGGTATTGACTGGTCTGCCTCATCATGCTTGGTGCTACTTATATTTGCGCTTGCGGCAATCTGGGGGAACTATCCTGACGACGAAACGCGCGAGGTCTCGTACAACGAACCATCGTTTAGTCCACCGGTCACTTACCTAACTATATCGGTTCCGGAACACCGAATGAAGGAGTCGTTGACCTTCCTCTCCATGGCGCGTAAGCGCATCTCCACTGCTTATCTCGACGATACCTTGCTGGGAGTGCAGTGTCTGTGTTTATTTGGGTAGGCCCCTTCCTCTCAACTGATTCGAAATTCGAAAGTCTAACTCCCGCGTAGAATCTGGTATCAGTATAACATCGAGCCGATTCCGGGCTGGAAAATGTTTCGGACAGCATCCATGCTGTGGCAAACGTATCGTTTGAAACACCGCGAGGGAAAGACGATTAGAACTGCGCAGGAAGAAAGTGCGTGATTTTATCTCCCCGTTGCGGATATATCTAACTGCCACAGGCCTGGAGCAGCGACTCTACTGGACATGCTTAAAATCCGAATGGTATAACACACACAATAGACCTCAATCTTCACACAATTGGCTGACATACAATAGCGAGGTTCGATATGAACTGACGGATCTCCCGCCCTGTGACCTCAGCCTCTCTGACTTTCCATATTCTCTCCCAAGCTTCCACACGAGACAACCATCTAAAGATACCGCGGGGGGAAGTTTTCCAATCCCTCGTCCACAGACCTCGAAGCAGTATCTTCCTACTATTATCTGGCCGAGATCTTCTTGCGCAGGCTTCTAAACCGGGCCCGCAACGCGGTCCGTGTGCTCTCCCCAGATATCGACCCGCCGACCATCAAGACTCTAGCAGATACTCTGACGCAACTTGAAGGTCAATTACAGCAGTGGGTAGACTGTCTCCCCCATACACTCCGGTTCAACATGCCTCTCGAATCCGCCCCCGGACCGAACGAAGGTGAACTCATGAAGCTAAGCCGCGAGCGATACGTCGAGGTGCGCGAACTGCTCTGCCGCGCGTATCTATACTTGTGCATCCATGTAACACTCGACCCAGGGATCGCGGCGCTATATGGGGTCAAAGCGAGCGAGGCGCTACATTTGGCGGTTTATCGCATCCAGACCGAGGTGCCATTCTTCCGACATCCGGGGTCATGGGGAGCATGTCGAGTCCGGTTCAACCATGCGATATGCTTGATTGCAGGATTTCGCGCAAAGCTGATGCAGCGCCCCTCGGCTGAATATGTCACTATTCCTCCTGACTGGGCGGACTGTGTACGGGTGGTGATTGAGCGTTTGAAGATCTGGGGTGAGGAGGGGGGCGGGATCAAGGAGTTAAGTGTGCTCCTGCAGTGGTTGATGCATGGCAATTTGGACTTGTAGAACAGAACACAAGACGTGCATTTTTCTTGTAACGCATCGCAGGATCTCTGTACATACTAGTATTGAACCAATTGAACGAGTTAATTGAAGAACTATCCTAGGGATCGATGTTGAGCGTTTCATAACCTGTGAGGTGAGTATTCCGAGATGACTAGCTGAGCTTACACAAACATATGGAAGACCTCGGCAGTGGGTAGTCCCTGAATTGACAAGTTCTCAATGGCAAAATACCGTTTGTTGTACGGAGAGCTACTACAGCTCCGTTTCTCTTCCAGTATCTATCCGCAACGCATATCCAATAGCAAACTAACGGTGACCGTCGTCTTGCTCTTGGCCCGAGGCTCTCGGGGAGACTCCGCGAGGTCCCTTCAGCCTTCTTTAGGCTAAGATAAATTGCCAAGACTCTGGTGGGATTGGCGTTGAGCTACCACATCCATAAGCTCGCTTACCCCGCCTGCAGCTACCCCGTGGGGTGATGAAACTATATTTCTACCAGCGGGGATCGTACCCGGATTGTCTTCATCAATACGATAGAATTAAGCCATCTAGGCTGTCTGTGCATAACTTGATGGGTCAGACGGATCATGCTTTTTCCAAAGTTGGCACTGGGCCCAGGTGGCGGTCCGCGAGGTGTCACGCTGGCGAAAGAACGTAGAGCGCGCAGGATATATAATCATGATTCAGTCCCGGCGAGTCTTCATAGGTCCACCGATCAGCACTGCTGTGAGCATCCGAACATCAGCCTTTCAACATGGTCGTAGTGGGAAAACAGCGCGAGGAGAATGTTGCGGAGCCTGTGCTGGCTAGCTTGTTGACCGATGACCGTACGCCATGGTACAAGAAGCCGAATCTCAGAAGACTCTATTTAATCTTGTTTCCGGCATGTATGGGTATCGAGATCACGTCGGGATTCGACTCGCAGATTATCAACACGGTCCAGATTGTGTATACTTGGAACAAGTGCATGTCTTCTTGATTCTGTCTTCTTGATTCTAATGGGCTCTTCCGGAGGCTAACGGTACGATCTAGATTTTGGTCATCCAACCGGGAACATCGTAGATGGACGCCACGAGTACGCGATTGAAGAGAACCTCAAGGGCTTTCTGGGTGCTGCATACTCCCTAGGAGCCATTATCTCCCTGCCTTTTGTCCCATACGTCAACCAGCGAGTCGGACGACGGTGGACGATCATGTTTGGCTCATGCGTGAGCTTGGCCGGGGCCCTTATCCAGGGTTTCTCCAATGGAGGTATTCCTCCCTTTTTTTTATCCTTTCCGTGACATCTCTGATGGTTCCCAGTGGCTATGTACATAGTCGCGCGTATCATTCTAGGATTCGGAATCCCCTTCTGCATCGTCGCGGGGTCATCTTTGCTGGGAGAGCTGGGTTACCCCAAGGAACGACCCATTCTCACCTCGCTATTCAACTCCTCCTACTTCATCGGCCAGATCATCGCGGCAGCCGTGGGGCTGGGAACAGTGACCATTGCTTCAGACTGGGCATGGCGGATCCCATCTCTACTTCAGATTGCGCCCGCTATGATCCAGATCGCGACGGTGATGTAGGACACTCCCTGCCGCTATCCTGACTGCCCACGCACTAACACACCCCCAGGTTCCTCCCGGAAAGTCCCCGATACCTTATTAGCAAAGACCGCTATGATGACGCCTTCGATATCCTTACTAAGTACCACGCGGAGGGTGACCGCAGCTCGATCATTGTCAAGGCTGAACTGGCGCAGATCGAGCGCACCATCAAGATGGAACTCGAAGAGTCAAAACAATCATGGTGGGACATGTTCCGCACAGCAGGTATGCGTCGTCGACTGTTTATCTCCGCTTTTCTCGGCCTGTTCACGCAGTGGTCCGGCAACACGCTCATTTCGTAAGCATCCGCCTGGCATCTGCCCTATATATCTCTCTCGCCTTCGCTAATCCATGTAATAGGTACTACCTCAGTGACCTCCTGAACATGGTCGGAATCACCGACAGCGTGATTAAGTCTAAGATCAACATCGGCATCGCCTGCTGGGGTCTTGTCTGTGGCACTGCGCTGGCGCTGACAGCGCCACGCTTCAAGCGTCGGCCAATGTACCTGACCTGTGCAAGCTGCCTGCTGTGCGTGTATATCGCATGGACCATCTCCATGGAGCGCTTCATGACTACAAAGGCTCAATCCGCAGCCATTGCGACCATCTTCTTCATTTTCGCCTATTCGCCCGCCTACAACCTCGGCTATAACGCCCTAACCTACAGTGGGTGTCCCTTCCGTTTCATCGAATGTGTATGTACTAATATAAACAAGCGTATCTGGTCGAGCTGTTCCCTTATATGGGCCGCTCACGCGGTCTCTCCTGGTTCCAGTTCTACGGCCGCGGCGCAGCCTTTTTCGCCACCTACGTGAACCCCGTTGGTCTGGTGCGCATCGCCTGGAAGTGGCTCCTGGTGTACTGCTGTTGGCTGCTATTTGAGCTGGTGTTTATCTACTTCTTCTTCCCTGAAACTGCGGGCTACACTCTGGAAGAGCTGTCGTTCTGTAAGTGGTCTTCCTACTCTGCTTTATGGGACAGAGCTAACGTAAGTAGTGTTTGAGGATAAAGAGAAGGCGAATGAGGTTGCTGCAGCCGTCCACAAACAGCTCGATAAGGATGACAAGAAGAAAAATGTCACAGCGCATGTGGAGGTCCAAGAGACTAAAAATGCTGTTTGATGATGTCATGATGGCTGTTATATAAGGATGGTAGGATGAACGTGTCGAACAAAGTTATCTGCTAGGTAGCCTAAGTTAATTCTATGTCTCTTTTTGTGTTTGGGGTTTACGCCTTTTGGAGGTATACGAATTTATTAAAACATAATGGGTGATTTTGGTCCATGATTTCGTTTCGGTCCGGTCATTAAGTTTAAAGCAAAGATGAGCCACTATCCTCTCTAAAAGGCCGCTATCACTTCCCTGTTTCCCAGCTTCTCAGCACATTCCTTGGCAGTGCGCCCATTGGCATCTGTAATCCTCGGCTCTGCCCTTGACTGATCAAATATCGGACCAAATCCCGCTTTCCCTCCAACAGCAACTTGTGCACTAACTCAACTTGACTGACTTGTCCAAGGTAGAAAGAAAGGAAGGAGAAAGGAGAGCTATATGTTAGACTATATCGGACGATGGAAGGTTATGAGGCTTGAGGCCAGAACATCTCACCGAAAGAAGTAAAACTCTATAACAAGTTTGATTCTCTAAAGCGGCGCTTCTTTTTCTTTCGTACTATCATTTAAATCCTAGGAGTACATATATCAACCAATAGAAATTAGTATCCGGAAGCTGTGATCAAAACAACACGCCTGAGAAAAATTCAGTACGGGAGGGGAAGGATATGTCAGCGGTTCAGGGCGTGCAGGATTTATTCAGGTATATGGACTGAATGGGCTGAAGAGTAGGGCGGCAAAAGGGAGTTCCTGAACGAATCAGGAAAACAAAAACATACAACAGTGAGGATTCGCTGGTGGTCACCCACCCAACTACTAACTCACCGGCGTGTGGCTTAAGTACGGCTGAGCGGACGGGAAGCCCTGTTTTCCACACCCTATGGTCGTATGTATTGTCTTACACGTTCGAGAGTATAATCTAAGTATGTAATGTAATAATAAGCGGGGTGAGGCTTTATAACCCTGGAGCCCTAAAAACCTCTTCAGGCGTGAGGAGTCTAGCGTCAGCCCCCGATTCTCCCGCACAGACCACTAAAATGCCATGAACACGAAAATGACGTGGCATCGATGACTTTGTGGTTAGATAGAAAGCGAAAACTAGTCTTTATCTGATTTCCTACGCAATTACAACATGGCTAGAGACAGCGAGAGCTATAAGATCTACCCAAAGGTGACAGAGGAGGGTAATCCGTATCAGGTACATAATAAAAGGGGTATATCCAAGAGGAATGGATTTTAACATACATCTGACCAGGACGGTGATGAAGCCACTTGGATCACAGTAAGTAATTAGCATCCCCACCCATTCCAACGTGAGACGAATTGATCTGGTGTACTTACCTCTTTGGAAGGTCCATTGCAAAGACTTGCTCCCGGCAACACTCGACGTCTTCGCTTTGCCGTGGGATTGGTCCGAGGCAAGTCAAATACGTATCCAGGATTTGTATAAGATACTGACGAAATATAGACCCACCCCAATCATATTGTGATCAAAAAGTCGATCAGTGATGATTTACTAGAGATGCTTTTTGCAGACACAAGGCGTATCAAGGAGCACTATGTGGTTGCGAGTGATAGAGAGCAGTCCTCCCGGCAGGACGTGAATCCCGACCGAAATTTGAATTATCAGCCGCCTAAGTGCGCATTGCTCGGGGCACCGCTGAGTTTTGATATCAGACTAAAACCTTCCACTGTCAAGCGATCTATAGATGGTTTCAGAGCTGACCCATCCCACCGGGGACATTTCGGCCAAAGGCTTGACGTCGCTAGTTCGCGGATGCCAGGATATGGAAAAGTAATTCTTTATCGAACAGATGTCACAGCTAATGAGGGGCAGGATCCTCAGTTCTCATGGACGTACGTTTTCAGACGGCCCAATCATTGGAAGATATAATATACTCATTACAGCCTTGAGCATTAGCCATACGCAAACCGACACGAAGAGTTTCGATGATTTCTCGGTATATATCTTATCTATTCATTGGACTATACTTTTCACTGACAACCTAGCGCTTTGCATCAAATGTGCCGAACCTAGCAGATGAAGACAGGGCTCTCATTATGTCTCTCTTGAAGAGGGCGCAACAGGATCCCCCCGGATTGAACGAGCCACAGTACGTGATACGCTGTGTTGACTCTAATCCCACCCAGAGCCGCACCGAAAAGTCCGCCATCTTCCTCCGTCTTCCTTACTATTCAACCCAAAAAATTGATACAGCCCAATCCTTTCGCAAGTCCGCCCATTCCACACGCAGCCTCCTACAGTATTTTTACAACCTAGAGTCTACCCGGCACCGTGACCTGCAGCAAGTAATTCGAAAATCTGGAGTCTTTCCAAAGGGCTATATTGTTCACGTCTCCGAATTATGGGCAGTGATCGTCAATTTTCGTTCGTGAACACCCTTTCGCACGAGCTGATCACAACATGCTGACATCTGGTGACTATAGAATTCATTATAACCAGTGCACCCATACCTCTGATGGATGGTGCGAGTCCCTCTTTGGAGGTCATGAGCCCGCCGACGTCCCAGTCATCGTCTCCTTCCAATATTTGTGTCATCAATGCCGACCAGCGTGTGTTCTTCTTTCCCATGGAGCACTGCAAGACATTCTTTGTATGTCATACCTTTCCCCTTGTAGCATATTTTTCAAGTCTCTCGGCGTTGATATTTATCGAACAGGCAATGAGAGATAAGATTTTCAGATATTGCCTACCGGAGGGTGAAGGCCGCAATTATGATAATCACGAGTATGGAGACCGCAGGCATCAAGTCTCCTGTGATTTTACAATGTTTACCCAAGACAGGGTTCCGATCAAGGCAGAGGATTGGACCAAACTGACAGCCTCGTGCGCATTGACGCCTCTCCACATTCGAATCAAGACCTTTATACCGGACACTGCAGAGGAGCGCCGAGGTAAAGATAAAAAATCAAAGAAGTACATGTTCCAAGATGACAAAGAAAAAGAGGAAATGGAGACAATGTCCCATGAGGTATTTCCTAAACCAGAGAGGGGTAGACAGAGCCTATCAGAGAGACAGAGCCTATCGGAGACAGATAAACAGGATCAATCTAAGCAAAAGCATGATTTTCCCGAGACAGAGGAACCATTTCAACCGGAGATAGACGAAGATGATCGGAGTCAGCACGAGACAGAAGAATACACCGAGGATTACAAATCGGACTGGAACCGCAGAGATAGGGTGTTTGATGAGGCTCGCTATACTGGAGCAAGGCATCGCTTGCGACGCCGTACCAGTGTGCAATATTTCTCCTCTTCCCCCGGCGTTGTGGTCAATCAGAGACCCGATGACAACATATCCGCTCCTCCGAACATTTACTTCGAACCAACCAAGCCCATCCCCTCCTGGGATGAGGAGTCTGTTGACCAAGATATTCTTTCCAATGCAACAGCTTCGGAAGAGCAGATTGATCATGTCCATCATTCCACGACATCCGAATCCTTACCTGGAGGTTCACCTGCCTCCCAGACCTCTTCCCCAGCTCATTCACCCACTATCAATTTGGAATTCCCGCCAGTCTTTACCTGGCAGACAAAGAAAAATCCGTCGATAGAAGAGAGCGTGATCTCAAACCCAAACCGCCCTCTTGATAGCCCTAGGCCGGATCATCTAAAGTCGAATGTTCAGTCTCCAAATGAGCAATCCGAGGTTTTGGGCGTGGACGAAGAAACAATAAAGCTCATCTCGGCAGATATCAATAATGGGCTGCTTGAGCCTACCGATGGAGATAGTTGGATAATATATAAGGAAGCGACAAAAAAGTCCTACTTTGATGTGGACCAGGCTATCACACAGAGATATGCCGTTTCTCTTGGCACATTGATCGCGGAAGCTGCTGGGATTGTTCCCGACTCACTGTCGCCAGAAATGGTGTCCTTGAAATATGTTGTCAGCAGGCTATGTCGACTGTTCAACTTCTTTGCCCCGCTTTCATATCCGTGTGCTATCAGCGACAAGTTCTGGGGGGCGGTTTATGATCTTCTCACCGTGAGAAACATCCACTCCCTCTAGCCCTTCAGCTTCTAATGCCCATATTTGCAGACCATCCCCCAGTATTGGGACACATCCTACACGCAAGAACTAGCTAACCGAGCGGGCCGTCAACGGATGTCGAAGACGTTCTTTATAGCCAACCTCGGCCGTACTGAGTACTATAACATCCCCGAAGACGACGAGCTGGATCAGCTAACATTCATCGTGGGGCAATGCAAAAAATGCACTGCATTCTGTCAATACTCTACTCGGTCGGATGCCCTCGACCATCTGCTTACGCATGTTTCCGAGGTTTGCCCCGAACAACGCTCGGTGAGCAGCTCGCAATCACAGTGGGTGGTGGATTTTGAAGAGTATCTGACACATGTCGGCCGGAGGGATGACCGGAGGATAATTGCCGAGTTAAAAGACTTTTTGACAAGCTTAGAAATGATGGCAGTTCAGATTCAGCACGGGGTGTCAGCTAATGGAGAGTTTGACCGGGACACATATTTCATCCCACTGAGTTTGACTGGTGCCTTTCAGGATCTCCTGATGATGGTCGTGACCAGCGCACATCTCGTAAAGACCTGTCACAAGAGGCGAGAAACTTACACAGGTTCCGACCCGCTACGGACCTTCTTGATGCTGTCAGATTTAGATCAAGTGACGGATGCTGGGGTAGAGGCGGAGATGTCTATGGAAAGTGCCATGAGAGACATTGTCTTGATGACCCATACCGATGAGATATCCGATGTTGTCACCTACGAAGCCGTGGGTCCCGCATTACTCCTCGCCCTTATTATGGGGGATATTCGCTGCAGAGACTCGCAAAGCAATCCGGTCAACTTGGTCGAGATCTATCGTGATTACGTCCGAAATCTAGTCAGTACCCCTTTCTCGGTCCCTGTCACTAATCTCAACTTTGCTAATTAACCTATACATTCTCAGCAATTCAAAGCAAGTCAAAATCCCCAGCGACGCCTACTACAGGAAATCTACCTCGTCCGCGAGGAGCTGGAAATAATCCAGAAGGCTTCCGAGAGGCAGCACCTCGTTCTTGTAGACTATCTGAGCGTCATAAACCCACGTTCTTTCCCCATCACCACCAAGTCCCGGGTCTCCTCATTCGAGTTGGAGAAAGCGCGGTTGCAAAAGCTCATCCGCGAGCTTAATGCCGAGCTTAGAGCAATCTCACTCCTCAACGCAAAGCTTGACTCGTTGGCCAACCAGACGCGCAGCGGGGTAGACGTGCGACAAGAAGACCAAGGAAAAGCCGTCCTTGTCTTTACCATCGTGACTGTGGTGTTTATGCCGTTATCATTTGTGACCAGCTATCTCGGCATGAACACCACTGACATCCGCAACACGAACAGCTCGCAGACGCTGTTTTGGGTCATCTCCGCTCCGCTGACAGTGGGGATTATTACAATTGTCCTGTTTGTTGCGTTTCAGGTGGATCGGATTCGAGACGCTTTTGACGCTTTTTGGGCGTATCATTTTACACCAGCGACAAAATCTGGCTCAGCTGTTTTGCGTGGGATGGGGTCGAAGGATCACATTGAAGGGCTCTCGGGGTTGTCAACACCGAAGAATTGGATTACACGTAGCTGGCCTGCGGGGAGGAAAACTGAGCTGGACGATTCAATGGGGGTTTAGTCGGCTTATCCATGCTGGATCCATGTTATGCAAGCCCGAGTCCTTTTGCGGATTGATAGAAAATCATAGTTCCTACTCGGACTAGGTTTGTTCTCGATGCAGGGATCTAAGCCGAAATCAATATACACAGAAGAAATACATAACATGCTTGTTAGGCATACATTAATATACAATAATCCAAAACAGTCCCGCCTCCAACACTTTTTTTGTGGGATTGGTGGAAAGAAGTTATTCATCCACCTGGCCACAGAAAGAGACACGTCAGTCTTGGTACCAGCCACAAAAACAAATCCGCTGTCCATAAAATACAATGCTCCAAAAACACAGGCTGCGGGATGCGGTATTAAAAGCAAGTAAAGAAAACAGGATCCTCTATGATATGTCGTTTAAAAATGATGAACCAAATTGGACACAGGAGAAGAGAGACTCAATGTGAGGATGTCGTTATGAAAGAGATGGAAGGGAGGATGAATGGAGGGCGATCGAGTGTAGATAGGTCGATCGTATTGGTGATTAGAGGGGAGGGAAGACTTAAGCCAGAGCCTTGTGCTCAGATGGAGGAGGGGGAGGGAGCTGTTGAACATTCGTAGTTAGTAGGCGTCTCGACTCCAATTCCAAAGGGGTTCATCGTACCTCAAGCTTTGTGTTATCAGCCATCATACGCTGGAAACCAATACCGACACCCTCAATCACAGCAAGGAAGACGGCACACATAATAGCGGAGTTTCGGGCGGCCTTATAACCACCACGAATAGCGAGGGAACCACCGGTGAAGAAACCGGCGATGATAGCATTGTAAGGATCTTCCTTTTTGCGGATTCCCTTGATTGAACAGTCGTATATACTGAAAAGTCCTCCCCAGCAGCCGAAGTTACCACCGAGGACGGGAGCGCGCGCCTTGATAGCTGTGAGAGCACCTATCCGGCGCTCGCCGTAGGGACTATTGCGGAAACCCTTGACACCGTGCCAGACGGCACCACCGATGGCACCCATACAGAAAGCACCGCCGAAGTCGCTTAGAGCAACCCAGGGGCAAGGGTCGCGGGTGTGATCCATAATGTGTGAAAGAGTCGGGTTGAGAGTCGGTGATATAAAGGCAAATCGGCTGGGTAGGAACCGATTATGAAAGGCGCGAGGATAAAGGTCGGATATTGGCAAGCAAGCCCGGTGAGAGAAAGAAACCGGTGAAAGGCGTGAGGGTTGTAAAGGTCGAAGATTGAGAAGCCCAGAGACGCGATAACAAGATAAGGGCGGGTCGACTTTTTCTTTCCCAGGTTGGGATACACGTGACCACTGATGTACGATCCGGTCGCCACCGGAAGTGATTTCTACGATGTCCCCCGTGTTTATTCTTACTTTTGGATTATCATTCGTTCGGGTTAGGAATCCCCGGGCTCCCTCCCCGGGGGACGAGAATATCTCGGCCATTCATCCCTGCATGATGTCTCGAGGCCATCAGAAAATTTCTTCGTTCCTGCACAATAATTTATGATACTCTCTCTTTAGTTGTCATTCCAAGGTTGTTTGTTTTGCGAGGGGCTAGCAGAGCCAATCGGGGATCATAGATCCCAACACCTCGGAATTATTCTGCCATTTAAAAGAATGAGCGACCTGCGGTTGCACTTCTTTGTCTTCCCTTAGCTAAAGAAAGTTCATCCTAGCCAGAAGATATTCGAGAAATATTCAGGAAATCGCATAGGAGGCGCTCAAGCTTCAGGCGCTCGCTCATGGTATATACGTCCGAGCTTTTTTTTTCTTTCTACAGCCCAGCCCTTGCACAAGCTTGGGGTTGCCGAATTATCTACCACAGGAATAGTCGGCCTCTTATGCGGCATTATCTTGTCTTTTGGTGGTCTTTTTGGATGTACATATATTTAGGTGTCTTTTTAGGTGTATATGAAGGCGGTAAAAAAAGACATGCTGTGTGCAAGAGGCTATTCTGAACTCCTGCAGAATTCAAACTGTAGCAGCTTGCATCGACCACACATGATTTCCAGGTGGTTGTCTGGTATTGAGTATGTGACATGGACGCCTGCTGTCGGGGGGAAGGTCAAAAGGGCATTCTACGAGGCCAAACCCCTGTCCGACATGTTTCTGCGGCGGGACATCTATTCTGCTTTGTTTGGAACTTAGTGTGCTAGTAGAACTAGTAGAGAAAATTTAGAGAGCTCATCGGTATAATCTAGGTTGGCATCTAATAAGCTTAAGAGAGTCTTTTATACCATAGGAAATTTGGTGTAGACATATCCATATATGGTTAGTGGACAGCAGCAGCAATGTTATGCGCTTTTTCTTTCATGTGGTACTATAAATGTGCCAAAGAGTCTTAGACGAGCTCCTGCTTATGCTCGGAGGAACACTCCACTGTGAGCTAAACCAGGATTTGGCGAGAATGGTGCTAGAGGTAAGGCAGGAGTGATTGGTATAAATTATCCTTGCGGAAATACGGAAATTTTGGTGAGCGTGGCTAATTATACGAAGAAAGAAAAAAGACCCCGGGCACAAGTATTGAGTAATATATATAAGGGATCTGCATGCTACTTATTATTTTTACTAGATACGCCTATAGAAGCCTATGGTATTTTAAGTCTAACTCTCGAAGCCAATACTTCTTGGCACTTACATTCATATGTCAGTCTCCCATCATGATCTCCCTATTCTTAATCCTCACTCTATCTATATCACACTCACCCACCATCTACTACCTATTCACTAATTTGATCTTATAATTACCTCTGACGCGAAACCTATCACATACGACCATAGGGTGTGGAAAACAGGGCTTCCCGTCCGCTCAGCCGTACTTAAGCCACACGCCGGTGAGTTAGTAGTTGGGTGGGTGACCACCAGCGAATCCTCACTGTTGTATGTTTTTGTTTTAACTTTTTTTGTTTCTATATTGGCCGCAAGTAACGCGGATAGACATATCTGTGTTGCATAATAACTCACCAGAACGCTGGCTCGACTGCCATGCCGGGGGACATCAATAGGGCGCGGATGTCGAAGAGTGCTGTAGAACTGGTGTCCTGTCGCCGTTGGATAATGAATGCGTGTACGCATTGCTAACGCAACTTGTAAGACGGCAAGAGCAAAATTTCGCATATGGAGTGGGTTTTCATGTAGCAATTGACGGCAACCACGAGCTGGACAGTTGCACCGAGAAAATGCTGCGGGGATGAATGGGAACAAAGCACCTGAGTCATGTGTTTTTTTTCTTTTCTTCTTTTTTTTTCAAGTCTCATTATCTCGGCTTTGTGATAGTCGATTCAATCAAATCAAGTAGACTTATCAAACCCTATAGTTAGTTGGTGGTTGCAAATAATCTTGTAATAATCTTCCCTCTGGTACAATTATTCTCTTGCAACACAACCCTCCTATAGCAACCAACATGTCAAATCCATGGATTCGGGAGACTAAATGTACATATATGAAATTAAAGCAAATAAGACGATGTGGTACTGCACACAAAAATCGCAAATGGAGTATTCTAAAGGTGACCGTCGCACACCTCTTCGAAAGTCGTCGCCAGTAACTCCCAGATGAATCTTTTAAATCTCATTAGAACGTTCGGAATCATTTAGCGAAGGCCCAGGATACTCACAATTCGGTTCCCTGTTTTGGCGACAGGATTTGCCTCATATTCGTAGCCTACCTCTTTTTAGCTCTTATTGACCTATAGCTCGCTCCGATGCTTTTCGGAATACTCCACATTTCATAGATTCTATTATAAGGGTTCCGGAATTCAAAAACACGATAACAGGGGTTCAAGCGAGAGTCATCTCATAGGTTAGTAGGCGGAAATATTACCTAAATATTCTTCCAAATCGGCAATTACTAGGAATTTCAAGTTCTGCATTCTAGATAGTGAAGACGGGAACACTCAAGGCTGTATGCTCTACGGCATACGGGTCGATTCAATACCCGTAACTCAGCTTCATACCCGACCTTGCGTACAAAGGAACCCAGGTGAACTGCCCTGGAAGTGGATTCAGAGAGGTGTAGGAGTGTGTGTTCTCAATCTGTATCTATCTGCTACTTGTAACCTCATAATCTCAATGCTTACATAACAACATATGGAAAAAGAAGAAGAGGCAGGGGCAAATGCGTAGTGGGGAGCCTATTTCCCCACTACAATAGGAAAGCATCGGTGATACAGCCAGGGGAAGGCGTTGTGCTCGAGGCCATAGGGGACTAAGAAGCTCTAGTTCACGCATTGTGACGTTCATCTAAAATGCTACAGCAAGCGTACTCTATCACATATCACGACGAAGAGCGGACAGCAGACGACAAATACCTACCACTCTTAGATATTATGCTCCGCTTAACGTGGCTCTTACATCAGTTCACAATGTTTGAACTCTTAGGTATCACATATTCCATAGTAGTAGACTACCTCTCTCTTCCCTCCTACATCTACAGTACAACACAGCACACCACCACAATACATTACATTGTGCTGCTTCATAATCTCATCTACTCTGTAGACTCTAACACACATAATGCTGACGAAATGACTCACATGATAGCGAAATCGAGAAGACTAAAAAAAAAAAGCTAGACTCATGTCATTTTGCACTAGGGTCCGACAATGCTACCAGTCAATATAAAGGTCGAAGTGGATCAACTTTTCTTGTTTTATACGCTCTATACCACAACGTTAAGATATTTTGTTCGCGGTATTTCAAGCCAGATGAACGAAGATATACTGCAACTTATCATATAGAGAAGATAATCTATATCAGTCAGAAGCTTAAATCATACGATTAGCAGTCTCAGTGTATCTACCTCCTCCTACCAGATTCAGCCCTTACCGCTCGTTAAGGCGGCGATTGAGGTAGAGGGTATTATTCGTCGGGAATAGGCGGTATAAGCCCTTAGATTATATTAGTAGGCTGCCAGGGATCACTATCCTTAGTCTAAAACGTTCAAGGAAACCGTCTATAAGAGGGAAGATGAAGCTTCTAGACGGCTTAACTAGGGCTTAATCCTAGTCAATCTCAAAGATAGAATAGTTATATAATCATATCTCCCCACTCTAATAACAGAGCAACGTCGAAATACCTAGGTTTTGGTTTATTTTCATATACTAAAGCAAAAGATACTTTAAATCCCCGCGATTTCGGACACTTCGTATCAACACGGGCTATGTTTCTTAGGTCTAAAGCTCTAGCAAACGTTCGCTGCGGCTTAGCACGCGGGTTTAACTCTTTAGGTGGTCATATAGTTGTTTGCGGTATCCGCTTACTGTTTATTAGCTGCTCGGGGTAGAACAAATGGCGTGAAGTAGCAATGTATATAATAAGTTTTGCAATAAATGGTGTCGAAATACCAAGGGTCGAATACATGAATCTACAAGATATTATACCGTGTGATCATTATCACTCACCCCCTCGGTGAGAATTCTCACTTAGGTATTGAAATCAACATTTGATCGGCTACCACAACTTGTCAGTCTCGAGGAATTTATTAATAATAAAAAACCAATAACAAAAAACATACAACAGGATGTCTAAGGTGGTGGTCACCTAGCGCTCACGGTTCGGGCGTGGGCGGCTCGCCGCTCTATTCAGGGCACTCAGGCAGATATTCACCCACCTAAATATTCCTCACCCGAATATTCAGCCCGTGTAGCAGAAGGTATATTTCCTATAACAACCAAAAATTCTATAAATTTCATTCTTTTCCCCTCCGTTTTCATCTTTCTAGCCTCGCTCACGAGTAAGATACGTGCTAAGTATGACCTAACGTTAAAATATATGGCTAATATTGTGGATTTCGGAAAGTATAGTAATAATAAAATCTAGCGGGTAGTACTACTACGAATAGAATCTAGTTATAGTTACAAGTTACTTATTTTCCACAAGTAAGTCTTAGCTCTAGGAGCTAAGTAAATCGCTAAATTATGCCTCTATCCCTAGTTTTATTAAATTTATCTATAGGCTGTTATTCCGCCGGATATTAGAACTTATAGGGCTTTTCTCGAGTAAGTTATAAGAGGAATAGACGGTCGGAACGAAGAAAGGCCTATAGTCGAGACAATTTAGCGATTTTTAGGAAATTCGCCACTAGTATAGAGAAAAAAAGAAACTTTAAATTCCTACTAGCCACTAGGACTATAATTAATAACGTCTATACTAGCATCATTTTAAACAATGAGTGGTTACGCAAGCTGCACGCCAACATCACGCTCGTCCACCACGACTTACAAGAATATCCGAAACAAGTCGAGGACAATTGGCACCTAGCACACGTCTCGTATGTGATGCGGCTAGATATACTACAACGCGACGGCGGGATCTAATTCGATACGGACATCATCGCTCTTCGGCCATTTGACGGTCTTTTGCATAGCCCAAAGGACACAATTCTCGGAAATGAGGGTCGTGACCGCTTCGGGCTCTGCAACGGCATCATTTTGGGGCGAAAGGGCGCCGCATTCATGGACTGTTGGAAGGCAAGCTACAGCTCCTCTGAGGTAGCCGAGTGGAATACCCACTCAGTAATACTCCCAAAGAAGTAGTCTCTGACGTTCCCACAAGAAATTTGCACTTTGACACCATCGGCGTTCTTCTAGCCAAGCTAGGATTCTATACAGTATATGCACGAGCTGCTTACTGACACCCAGGCCAGGAAGTTTGAAAAGACCCTCGCCAGCCACAATGGTAGTATGTACCCACATCAACTCGCTTATCATGCCTGGCACCAAGTGGCGCCATAGCTGGATGACTTAACGCCCGAGATTGTAATGACACGGAACACTCGGTTTAACATGTTAGTTCGGTGGTTTACAGAGTAATTGAGAACCACAGAACACTTACCATTCGGCTGCCTCTTGCGTTATCTTCCTTTAGACAAGTAATTACATTCCTGATACGACCAGTCTTCTCAAGTTGTTTTACATGTTTGACGCTCAGCATCATTCCTCATAAAAAAAAAAAAAAAAAAAAACTCTTTGTGTATTACCTATAGGCGAAAAACAATGGTATATGGGAGGAAGATATGGACTCGTGACTACCGAATAGGAAACGAAAAAAATGTCTTCACATCTCCTTGACCGGTTTTTGAAACGCAGGTCGCTCGAGTACTGTCATAGTACGTATAGGGTAGTGGGCCGCTTGGCAGTGGATCAACAAAACCACAATACCACTATATTTCATCTGCGTCCTTGGAGAATAGCAACCACGTACCTTTCCAAAAAAATTGATCAGAGGGGGGTATGTTTTGAGATGGAAGTCAAGACTTACAAGCCCATTCCAAGCAAAGCCATGAGAATCCCGGCAATACTTTGCTTCGAGATAGAGTGGTCACTTACGAACCAACCCAAGCCCACAATCGTACATGTCTTCAAATGCCCAGTGACCGTGCTGCTAACGGGACCCACGGCGTCAATTACAGCAAATTGTGACACATTGACGAGACAAGCAAAGAAACCACTCTAGAAAACAGGTTAATTGGTTAACTATCAGAGTTTTGACGCTGTGGAAGGGTAGCATTAATTAAAAAGAAGTACTCACTGCGATAATCGCGACATATAATGATGGTGAAAGTCCCGTGGTTGTGGGCGGTGTATCAAGAAAGGGGACCATACACAAAAGTAAGCTGGCGCTCATTGGTGCTTGGTTGAGTAAGAGTTGCATGCTGTTCACCTGCAACTTTTTTTGGTAGCTTCCAACCAGTGATGTGTAAAAGGCGCTAACGATGACACCAGTAAATGCACATATAACCCCCTTGGAAGATGTTGCGACGGCTGTATTAGGTGCGGAATATGAATCGGACCAGAATACAATTCCCACGCCTCCACACAAAATAATCATTGGAAGAATGGATGCCTTAGGAATGACAGAGCGATAGAGTAGGAAGCTCAGTAAAGCAGTTGCAGGCGTTAGTAATAATCGCACGAGCTGGTGGAATATAATAGATGAATTTGCTAGGGAGATGTTTTGAAGGACGACTTGAGCGCACGTAAGGACGATCAGATGAATATTCTGACGAATAGAGACTGATTTGGCGACAAAAACACCGCAGAACGGCCGCGATATTACCCACAATGTGAGACCGGTAATGAAAAAGTGATAAGACGCAAAGGCCATTTGACAATTGCGTAGAGTTTCGTTGGAGAAAATGTACTTATTTGTGAAAACCTACAGATTATTAGCGAAAGAGAGTATGTGTGGCTCTTTGATGCTCACTTACTATTGAAACCGTCGAAACGATATTGGTCGTGATGCACAGCACCAGTCGGAGCTTTCCAGGGGCTCTGTCTTCGTCGTCTGATGGATATTCGACAGATTTAGATTCCGAATCATCAACTTTTTCAAGAAGGCTCAATTCCTCCGTGTCCGATCTGAAGTAATCGCGAGACCATCCTTCTGCCACCTTGAGTTTTGATTTGAGTTCACGAAAGGTAAACATTTTTGAATGGAGTAAGCAGGAGCAAACTTCTGAACAATATGTGATTGTAGAAAGAACTTAGATACTCGTATAATTAAGCCATATAAGATTGGTGATCACACCGAATTAAGAATTTCTTGAACTGACGTTTGCAGCCAGATGGGAACAACACCCTCGTCCCCCGTCCCGCAAATACCGCAGCATTGGACTAACAATTTTTTTTCTTTTCTTTTTCTAGTCCTTATATTCTACCTCTTGGTTAGATTGTCCCCCATTCTCCTCCCAAAAGAAGCCCGGCTTTTTAAATAACCACTTGCTAATATTACGCAATTACTACAACTAGTCCCTGTGACGGATATCTTGTGTTACGAAGAATATTGTCAAATCATAAAGCTTCGGAGACTATACAGTTAATCTACTTTTATATTACAAATGCGTTATACCCGTTCCTGGAATGGGTGTGTTTCACTTTTTCAATGCAACGGTTGCTCTATATGCACTTTTAACAAAATCGGAAAAAAAAAAAAAAAGGAAAGCGATTACTTTGATCCCTAAAGAATAGAAAATCAGCAGCGGCACAGCACGCCACAAAAGGAAAAGAGAAATGCAATAAAACTAGTGAAAATGATAGCCCCGGGGATAAACAAGCTCTTTCGGATTCACTTCTCCTGGTGACCATGGTGACTCCTCACCCCATTGTGAAAAGACCGTTTCTGCACCAGAAACCAATCTGTGAATATTGCGTCGCGTGCTGTATACAAGGTTATAAGATTGTTCCTCATGAACACTTTGGTCGCCGCTATTAATATCGGAATCTTTGTATGCCGGACCCGCTGGTTTATATGTTCCGATGAGATTGGGGAATGGCGCGAAACACTCAATACGCTCACGATCACCAAGGCCACCGCACAACTCAGACATAGCATTGTCAACCGGGGCCTCTATATGATCGATGGCTAGAGCGGTAAGGATCTTTTTCGCCCCTCTGGTTGTGACTGCGTACCCATAAGTGCAACAGCCTTCTTGAGCGCGGTAAATGAACCGCGTGGAGTCTTCAGGAAACACATCTTTCCAGCTGTCCAGAGGGCCAAGCCATGTGCCTCGACGTTCGACCTTTGGGACTGTTGGGTCTTCAGGTATGGCGTAGAATTGAGTTTCATTCGCATGTGGCCCTGATGCACATCCTCCAATCCAGAGAAGATCCCAATCAGTTCCATAAGGAGCCTGCTTGGATACTTTCGTAACCCCTTTCAGAGAATGAAGACCACGGGCAAATTCACGGAGTTGTGCCTTAATGTTCACGTCCCAGTCTGCGTCATCTTCTAGTACCAAGGCGGTGGAATAAGAGTTGGCAATGACACTGATTTTCTCACACTCGAATATTAGATTAAACAGCTTAAACCAGAGAGGATAGATAGGAAGCCAATTATACCTGTTTAATACATTCATGTGAGCGCGCCAACATCCAACAGCATTGGGCTCTATGGTTGAAAGGTTGTATCCCTTCCTCGAATATCAGTAAGTGCTTTATGAAATAAGTATCCGAATGCATACATTTGGTAACGCTTTCTGCTGTAAGTCTTGTGAGCGAACTCCGTCAACCCAATCAACTTCGAAGCCGGAGACCGAGGCTGATACTGTAAAAAAATCACGCTTGTCTGTGCGCTCTCTTAAACCAATAGCATATATGTGCTCAAACTGATAAAAGAAATTAGTCAAACTCAAACCAGTCGATCATGTAGAATACATGAAGCGAATACTCACCCCAAGGGTGGTGTTTGAGATGCGGTCGAAATCTCCATCACGTATGCCACTTCGTGAAAAACGTGACAATTCATATGGCCACACAGTGTCTCCAGTGTCTCTGATAATAAATGACAGTAGTACGTACCCAAGAAACACTGCGATAACAATTGAAATTATCTTGCGGGTCTTGTAAGGCATTTGAGAAGTCATTGTGAGACACCGCAAAGTATGTTGATAAAAGAAGGAATTGTTTGAATGGATTATATGCATCAGAATGATGGGATAAGAGTCATCAAATGTTGTTAAATTGCTGGGGATAATATAAATGGGTTTGTCCTGCATTCCTACTACATGCAGCATGTTACTCTCAAAACCCCATTGTCAAGAACCGCGTGCGGGTCAAGAATGCAACCCATTTCCGCAAAAAGCTTTCAATGCCACACTTTATAAAATTAATACAGTGGCGTAAGTTGTTGTAATTATTATGAAGATAACCATGAGAAGATGCGTTTCAGGATTTTTTTACTGTCTTAGGTTTCCAATTCAAGAAAGCACGTTGCCGTGATTCTTCAGTCCAGTCCCAATACGGAATTAAGTGGCTAGAGATTCTTCAACCCCAAAAAGAGGGGGTACCTTTGGTTCAAGTCTCGCGGCGTCGCACAAGAGTCATTCATATTCTAGGACGGCGCCTCATTTTTCCTCCGTCAAGGTCGCAAATTTCACCCAACAACGCTTCTTCCAAAAGTGCCTGTTCAATGAAGGCTTTTTTGGCAAGTCAAGTCACTATTTCTCCCACCAAACATCAACGTAGGTCCACAAGTTCGTACCAACTATTAGAGTTATATAAAATATTGGTATTGTGATGAGGAATATCAGAGTCCTGCCTCTCTCAAGCCACATGGGCCTCCCCTTTCTATCGACAGAGCACCACCTCTACAATAGCGGATTTCCGGTAGATAAACCGGGAGTGTAATTTGCGTATATGGGTGTTGTGAAGCGAATTTTACTACAAAATAGTAGTAAGTATAAAAATTTAAAAACATACAAAGGGCAAAGGAACAGTTGATATCGATGAATATCGCAATTGACCGATAGAATGAGAGGGAGTTGAATCGTCCTCCTAGCACTAGCTGTATTAAAGTATATAATCTTTATCGCGTAGGTATTTAGCTAGACCTAGCGGTTAGAGATATAAAGTTCTACCGCTTAACTACGCGCTACGAGGGTATACGTAACTTTGTCTAGGAGATAATCTAGAATAGAAACTATCTAGAAAGCTAGGCTATTATAAGACGTTAGTTTTAATACTATATCGCTAAATTTTAAATTAAATCCTCGGTATCTAATACTTTAGATAGTAAGGATAGTACTTATTAATAACCTAATATATAAGCTATATCGAAATTAACTAAGACTTAATACTAAAATAAACTTAAAGGACTTATTAGCCGATATTATTTATATATATTGAAAGATAGCTATATTATAAATATCTCGGAAGCTATAATACCTTAGTATAGAATATTCTGTTACGGACCTATCCGTCACCAATCAGTGGTGACCCACAGGCACACCAATGGGCCATCGAGAGCCAACAGATCGAGATCACGTGCGGCGCATCCGGCAGGAAGGGGTTCTGCCAGAAGGTAGCTATTACCGGCCCTTACGGGGCAAATAGCAATTCTACTACATAACAATACCGAGCACCCGTGACCGCCTAGATCACGTGACCGTGACTCCTGCGTCGACTCCAGGAGTATACGTAGAAGTATACGGTGACTCCCGAATATACTCTAGGAGTATATTAGGGGAGTAGGAAACGAAGGATATATAAGGACACTCCCTTATATACTTAGTTTAGTTCTTCGTCTTTAATCATATATTGTTACTTATATTTACCTTTTAGATTACTATAACTCTTTACTTGATTATAACTTAATAACACTTACGAGTAGACTAATACCCCGGTATAGATCTACTCGGCGCTCTACCTAGTATTAGTTCCTTAATCGCTTAAAAGGACTTAGGCTATAGTAAGGCCCTACGCGGTATTAGCTTAGTTAAGACCTAATTATTAACGTTAGACTATTCGAGGAGTATTAAGGTAAGTATACCCTAAACCTATCTAACCTAACTATAACTAGTTAGCTAGTACGTAATATATTAAAGACCGTCTCGAATCAAGTTTCGAGTTATAATAAGCAATATATCTTACGCTAGTACTAGGAAGAAACCTATTCGGGAATAAGTCACTCTACCTATAGAGGATCCCGACTCTAACGTCGAAAGAGATAATACTATTATAGAATAAAAGCGAAAGATCAGCGAACTTAAGTATAACCTTAAAAAGGTTATAGATTAGCTTAGTAACTTAGGTAAGTAAAGCGGTACTAAGTTTAGCGAGGTCGACGACTACCTCGAGTAGATTAAGGCTTAAGTTAACGTATCCGTACCTATTAGTACTATCTAGGTACTATAGTTGCTTAAGGCTAAGTTCTTTAAGGGAAATCGAATTAAACTTCGAGGATTCCTTACTTAGATAGATATATACTTTGATATAAATAGTACTAAGATACCTAATAAAGCTAGTAAGGTAATTTTTATATCAACCTACTTACGCGGCTAGGTATAGGATTAGTTCGAACCTTATATCTATAACTATTATAGAAAGAAACCTAAAGAATAGTCGGATACTATAATAAATATCTTTAGCGAGTATTGTAATTTCCGTCGATACCTCGAAAATACGTTCGGAGATATCGATACTATAAGAATAGCCTAGAAAAAGTTATAACAAATCCGATAAACCGGAACTATATTAAGCTATACCTCTAAATTCTTATAAATTATCTCTTACTTAGATTAGCTAGATAGAGTATACCTTCCTTACTTCGAAGCTAGAATAAAATCCGACGTTAAGGACGAACTAACGCGAATAGATTAGCTAAAGGAGCTTAATTAACTTATTAAGATTACGGTTAAAATCGACAACTATAATAGCGAGCGAAGAAGGGAATAGTACGAAATAGAATTATAGAAGCGTAGAAAGATATATAGCTTTAACCGATTCGGTAGACGCCGCGATAGAGCGATACTACGGGATAACGATCTATATAGCCCGAAGCTAATAGAATTAGACGCTACTTATAATAAGTAAAAAGAGCGTCGTAATAAGAATCTTTACTTTACCTATAGGAAACTAAGATACCGTACGAAGGAATATAAATAGAAGAAACCGTACGAGAAACGGTAATATATACGGGCGATACGCAAAACACTACGAGCGACCTAAGAGGGAAAAGCCACTACTAGTATAGGCACTAGCGCCGAAGGAATAAACGCTAGTTAGGAATACTAGGAGGAAATATACCCTAACGAGTAATAGGGCGACTTAAAAGGGTAGGTCGAGACCCTTATCGATAGCCTTAGAAGTAGTAGGCGAGTCGCTATAGACCTAAGAGACGAGCTCTTAGAAGATCTTATAGGTAGGTACTAAGGCCTCGACCCAGAAGAGATAACGGCGGGCAACCTATATATTAAAGGGTTAGCCGACGAGCTAGAACTCGATTATCTAGAAATCGATTAGGATACGGTAGAAAGTCAAGGGTAAATATAGCACGTACCCTAAGCACTAATCTAAGACCTAGTAGGACTTAAGGCTAGGGAGGACCTCGGTCGGCGGTCGTAAGATCCACTAGGACTAGAGACCATAGTTATAGGAACAGAGAAGTCCTAGGACCCTAATTATCTTAAGATAAACGATATAGGACCCGCGGAGATATAGAACCCGATCCTTAGAGCTAATAGTGATCTAGGAACGCTAGATACGCTTCCCGGAATAGATCAAACTATCCTAGAAACACTAATAGAAAGCCCTACGAACCATTATAATAATAAAGAAGCTAAAAAGCTTATAGGATATCTCGAAGGAAAGATATAGCCTAGTGTTACGCACTAGCTAACTAGTCATAGTTAGGTTAGATGGGTTCAGGGTATACTTGCCTTAATACTCCTCGAATAGTCTAACGTCAATGATCCGGTCTCAACTAAGCTATTGCCGCGTAGGGTCTTATGGTAGCCTAAGTCCTTTTGAGCGATCAAGGAACTAATACTAGGTAGAGCGCCGAGTAGATCTATACCGGGGTATTGGTCTGCTTATAAGTATTGTTAAGTTATAATCAAGTAAAGAGTCATAGTAATCCAAAAGGTAAATATAAGTAATAATATATAATTAAAGACGAAGAACTAAACTAGATATATAAATAAGTATCCTTATATATCCCTAAGTTCTTCCTATATAGAATAGTAGATAGTAGAATAGTAGAATCGCCTTAGCGGATTCTACTAATCTACTTACTACCCTTCTACTACCTATATAATCACGTAATACTAAGTAGCGGTTGTCTAGTACGTAGAGTAACCTATATATCGGAAATCCTCTATAGGGTAGATCCGCTTAGGGCGGATTATACTCTTACTTAGTAAGCTTATACGTAACCTACTAATAGATCTTACTAGTTAGCTCTCGATAGCCTATTAGTATACCTAGTAGATCGCTACTAATTAGTGACGGATAGGTCCGTAATATTACCTCCCCCCTTCCTAGGAGTTTCGTCCCTAAGACTTATAAAGCTACGGTGTCCCCCCTTAGGTAGGTAATAGATTTCTTTTCCTTAAAATAATACTTCCTCGTTATATCTAAACGAAAGGCTAACTCTATTTCTTTACTTACTCCTAAACTTCCCTCCGGTTCTTCTAATACTTATTATCGTTAGGCGATTTATATTAAAGATAATAGTTTTACTACCTCTATTTCTTACGATTATTATAAATCAGTAGGTATTGCTTATCTAATAGACCGTTCTCGTTAATATTCGAAATATACCTCGTATACTCGCGCGGGTCACTTATATAAGCGTGACTTTTATACTAGTCGGGAATAGGATTTATTATATTATACCGAAACTAAACTTTCTTCGGATCTTAAAACGAATAAAAGTAAACTCGATTTATTAGAACCCAAGTTAAGCGAACTATAAGCTTATCTCGCGGAGCTATATTAAAAATTGTTAAATAAATAAAAATAATACTAGGAAGTAATATCTAGGTAACGTCGGTTACGTAAACAAATATCCTTCCTAAAATAAAAGGGTTTTAAAATATCGGAATATAATACTAAACTCCTTTAAATTCTCGATAAAAAGTAAATA